GCTGGAGCCCTATTCTTAATCAATTACATGGGAATTTCTTCAATGTGACCCAGGCATCAGCATAGTTTAAAGCTTGCCATATGATTGTTATGTAGAGTCAAAGTTGAGAACCACTAACTTAAAGTTCAGCACTGGGGGTTACATAATTCATGATGATCAGTTGAAGTATTTGCCAGTGTTGCATAACATACATTCATTGTTACTTTCATGTAATGCCTGAGTCTAGTCACTGCCACTGTGAAGGTTACAATACTCCTGTTATTGTGTCTACCACTAGGACAGTCTTCCTGGTACATCTGGTTTAAGAGGAAGCAAACTGGAAGCAACCCCATGAACCAGCAAGCGTAGGAGGAAGTACTCATCTGCTTAGTGTTGTCTCTAAGGAGGTGAAGAGCCAGAGGGAAAGAATCCTACTCTAAATAAACCTAGAGGTAGAAAAGGAAAAAGAAAGTGGGATGTTGGCTGTCCTACTATATAGTATTAACAAACCAGTAAGTACTGAAAAAACAATTGGAATAGTTAGCCTGCCAATTTCCCTTGCAATAGGGTAAGTACCAGAAAACCATTGGAATAGTTAGTCTGCCAATTTCTCTTGCAATAGGGTACAATTTTCTGCTTAAGAGCCACCAACTGGGAAACCCTGAGTCGTCTAGTCTCCCTGCTCCTGCAGATCCAAATTTCTGCTAAGTAGTCTTCTGAACAGACACACCTAGGGCCAATGCCTTTCCTGAAGGACACCACCTCACCCAACCACACATATCTTTATTTCTGAGAGTCAAGGAAACCTTTAATAGTCACAGGTGTGCATATGTTTATTCAAAATGGCAGAGCAAAAATAGGCCAAAGAAAAATGATTTATTCCTTCAAGAAATGGTTTCTGGCTGTAATGAAACATACAATTAGTCAGTGACTCGTGTCAACCACGAAATGTCAGTTTGAGTCCCAAGGGAACAAGAGATAGGTGAAGTTAGTTCACTTTTCAAGGGAGATAACAACGATGAACATCACGCCTGTGGCAGACATTGACTGCTGAATGTCTTTCCTACTGAGCACCTTTTCTTATCGAGTCTCTGTTGACCTTAAGTCTTTAGGGGTATTGAGGACTTTTCCTCTCATCAGCTTATTTATAATCCTTACCTTTACTCCTGCCTGCTTTTCATTGGGGCTAACATCAATCCATGTGACAGTTCTGTCCTACTCATGCCGACAGTTGTCTCGTCTGCTCTCCTGGCGCCCATTGAATGATTAGTGGGCCATTGGATTCTGTCCTCCAACACAGATAATCAACCAGGCATGGGCACCTCACTGAAGTTGGAAACCTCAGATTCTCAGTACAGGAATCAGGACTTTGGACAAAGAAACTGGTGAAGTAGAATACTTGAAATGGGCAGTTGTGGAGAGCTGTGCTTGAGGCAATAATTTTATGCCACAGGCATTCTCAAGCTGAGAATGTTAGCATATTCAAAGGAAAGTGTTCAGGTACAAGCATCCATTGTCAGCTGACAATGGCCTAGATGCACATGGGATTGTTTTCCTCATGCAACAAAAAGCCCAGGTGTAGGTGGTTGTTAGCAGTTGCTCAGCAGCTCAATAGTCCATCCTACCAAGGACCTCAGATTTTCTGTGCTCAGCATGTCCTTTAGACAACCACCAACTCTCAAGTGTCTCCTGCAGTCATACATTACTGCTGCCAATCTAAGCAAAACTTGGAGTTCAGGGCAGGAGAAGAAAAGGCAGGGACAACACTGTCTCTCCTTTTCATTAGAAAAGCAAGAACTTCTGGAGAAGTAAAAAGAATTCCTAGATTTCTGATTTTATCTCACAGCCAGAACATTGCCTGTGACGACCTTAGCTTCAAGAGCTAGAAAAGTGACAATGTATCTTTTCCAGCTCAAGATTGGAGGGTGGGAAAAGAGAAAAAGGCCAGCCAAACAACAAGGCTTACACAGAATCATGGAGGGGATGCAGAAATAGCACACCATGAGGCACCAGTGGGTGGAGAGGAACTTTGCTTCTGTTTGTCCAGGTCTTTGTTCCAGTGTCTGTGAGGCCTGGTTGTACTTTCTGCATTGAGTCCATAAGATATCTTCATATCCTTTCTACAGATCCATTCCTCATCTTCAACTTATTTATGGTTTTCTCTTTTTGGCAACTGAGTAATCCCTAAAATTGTTTTCTTACTGTGAACTAACTAGTCTACATCCTCTAACTTTGTACTCTCCATGGTCCTCCTTAGCTGAAACCAGAGCTTCACATCACACCACAAACTTATAAAACCCTAGGCTAAGCAGGCCAATTTTCCTCCTGCTCTCCCTGATCTGAAGGCAGGAAGGACCTGGCCCTTTTCTGCTCTTCTTTGCTTCTTTCAGACAAATCTTTCTTGATTAGGCAAAACTTGATCTACACTGATCATCACTCTCTTGTTGACCAATCCTTGGGTATGCTACACTTTCATCTTAGACTGTTTATTGTCATTTATCATCCCCTCAACTAGCCCATGATAATCTTACTCATCCAAGGCCTGTGTTCACAGGTCACTTCCTCCAAGAAGCCTTCTCTGGCCACTTTCAATTAATGGGACTTGTTTCTCCTGGCCTATAAGGCACTCTGTAGTTCTTCTGTGGCATTACTTTATATTGGCTATGCTTCTTATTTCCCCTCTCAGACTGAAATATTCCTGCACATTGACTCATATTATTTTACCTTTGTTTTGTCACAGTATTTGGCTGAGCACTTGGAAGGCTTTCAGGAGATATTTGTAGAAGAAATAGAAACAACATGGGGTTGGGAAAAAGCAATGGACTGAAAAAAGGTGTGTTTCTAGTTTTAGCTGTGAGGCACACTTTTGGTTGCATGCCCAGCGTCATTGCTTCTAAGCTGGTAGAACCCTGAGTTTATTGAGATAAATGTCCTCCATGTGGGCCAGTGTTTCAGTGGAAGTGGGCCTCATCCCTAGTCTTAGGGTGTGGTGGGTGGGGGTGGGGCATAGGTTCTGGTTCATCTAACCTAGTGGTTCTCAACAGGGGCTATTTTGGCCTCTCAGGGGACACACCTGTCTATATTATTGATTGTCATGACTATGTGGGATGCTATTAGAACCTAGAGGGTAGAGGTCAGTGATACTGCATCTTACAATGCACAGGAAAGCTTCTCCCCTGCAGACCCCCATCAAAAAACTATCTGGCCCAAAATGTTGACAGTGTTGTGGTTGAGAAACCTGGTCTAAATAATTGCAGAGGTTCCACCTTACTGCCAATAATTGGGCGGCAGTTAGGCTAGAGAGTGGGGTGAGGGGACTGAGAACTAAAACCACAACTAACAAAATGGACCTCACCATGACTCACAAACAGAAACTCATGTTACTAAACTGTGCCTAAGGATTAGTTATCTAAGCTTAGACCATTGAACTCATTTAGCTCATTCAGACCATGTGCTCTAAGATAAAGATCACTGACTCCTTCCAGAGACTCTCCTAGTTTACAAATCTTGACCTATCCCTGACAAGATGATCTGTGACTACCTTCAGTCCCCAAATCCCAAGAGTGTTGCGCGTGGGTCACCGGCCAGCAGTGACCACGGAACGCTGTGGATGGCTCGCCGAAACACGCGCGAGAAAAAACAACACATGCACAGAGACAAGCTAGTTTCTGTGGGGAAGTAGGGACGAAATGGCCACCCCCCCTAGTGGGGAGCGCGCTGATTTACCGTCCATACCTGCTTTTATTAGGCTCATTTTGCATAATAATTCAGGTAAAGTACAGTACTCATTCGGGGGAAGTAAGGAACCATAGAAAACAAAGAACTCTGCCGGTCTATTGAGTTGGGAGTCAAAGAGCTGTAAGACTGAGGAACAAAATAACTTCCTCCTAAGACCCTTCTCATTCAACTGAGAGCATTCTAAACAAAGGAGGTTTCACAGTAATTTACATGTTCTTTCTTAGGCCTGATCACCCTGGGGAATCCGCACTTCTCAGTACCGAGCTGCACCACCCTGTCATTGTTTCAGGCTTAGGTGGAGCAAGGGAACTAAGGCAACTGAGAGATAAGGAGATTTTTTCCCAAACGCTGAGAACTCAGGCTATGTCAAAGCCGAGAAGCGAGGGCCCATCACCCCCTTTTGCTGCAGCCCCCCAAGTCCTTCTTTTGGGGGGGGCCTCCCAAAAGTGATCGTGCCTGTCTTAGGTCGTTCCCCCGTGGGGAATCTTACCCGTCTTTGGCTAACTGACCAAGCTTTTTGGGGTTCAGTTATGAATAAAGCAGCAGAAGCAGCATTCCTGCCAGGAAGATAAGCTTTTGTCTCCTTGCTGGTTTACGGTTCCAAGGGCGTTCCCTTAGCCTTAGCCTAGGCGGGGGTTTCAGCCTCTGATACCAGTCAGGGCGGTTCCCAACACAAGAGGACCCTTCCATAACTCCACTGCTTTGAGGAGCCTCACAGGGCCTCTGGTGCATTCCTTTGTTGTAGGAAGTTTAATAAAACTAACTTGTTATTTTTTATTGAGGAATAATTGATATACACATTGTATTAATTTTAGTTGTATAATACAATGGTTTGATATTTGTATATATTGTGAAAGGATCACAAATTTAGTTAACATCTGTCACCACACATTGTTACAGACTGTTGTCATAAGGACTAAGATCTATTCTCTTAACAACTTTCAAATATGCAATACAGTATTATTAACCGGTCACTATACTATCTATTAACATTATTACTGTATTTTTTACAAATATGTTCCTGGTTGCTTTTTGTTGGAGAGCTTTAACACTGGGCATAGAATATAAATAATTCCAATGCAGTGGGCTATGTTCCATACTTCAGTCATGTTCAAAGTGCCTTAGAAACAAAATGTTCTATGTGAGAAATTAAGGGAATAATGATTTTCAGCAATGATACTTGAAGTAGGTCCTAGGTCCTGAATAATGAAATATTTTTGGCTAAGTGGAGCCATTATCACCGGGAGAAGGGATAATATGAATAAAGGCAGGGAGGCATAAGATTACAAATAGCAGCAATCCTGAGTGTTTGAAACATGGGAGTCAGGGAAGGAAGGATAATCCAGACAAGCAGGGAGGGCCAGATCATGCAGTACTGTCAAAAGCTTCCCTGATATATTGGTTTTATTCAACAGGGAGTGAAGTAAAGTGTTGCCAGTTATAACCCGGGATCCCTGAAGATCTCAATTTATAGAACTTTTCACTTCCCTCATGTTGGTTCTTCATCATCTCTTCTTACGGTAGTGTCACCTGGGATTCTAGTGCCATCTAGCCCTAAAAAAGAGGAGGGCACATTTCCATCAGGAAAGCCTTCAAGTGCAATCAGTGAATTAGTTCTTACTATTTAATTTCAAATAGGCCTTTTCTAGAGTTGGTTTCTTTTCTTGGTTTCCTTTGCCTGGGAATCCTACTCCCTGCTCCCTTCACCAAAATCCTATTCATTTTTTCAGCTCTTTCAGCTGTAAAATGCTCTCATGTTATTCCTTTATTACACTTAAAAATTTACATTTATTATGGTGAGCTGATTAAAGTTGTCTCTCTCCCTAAATTTCCATAACTGAGCAAGTTTGTGGTTTGCTCACCATCATCTTCCAGCATTTAGAAATTATACCTAGCTCACTAAATTAAAGGACAAATAGATTATTTCATGTTTTCTTAGAGCATACTTATTGTTATTTATACTCCGTGTTATTACTCGGGAGAGTAATTAGTTTGATTTGTCAAACTAATTTTTTTTTTAATATCCATGGCGGAAAGTCTTTTTGTAAGTAAGGTTTTATTGAGCCAAAGATGTTAGGCAGTATGGCTCGGCAGAAAAGACAGCCTGTCTGTGGTCCCAGAGTTTTGCAAGCATTTTAATACATCAAGTAGGGGTAAGGGAGAAGTAAGATGTCTGAAAGAATTTACCTAAGCTATAGGCAAAGCAGTAGGCAAGGTGGAAGGGGTCTAGCTTTGGGACAGTCGCCAAGTTGGAATACAAAGAAATGTCCGCCGCTGTAGACTGGTTGCGGGCAGCAGTCCGACAAATCCTGTGCAAACAGGTGGGACTCCTGAAGTTATATCCTGGCTAAAATAACCTGTGGAAATAGCCACCTTGAAATTAATCCTAAATTCCAACAGGCAAAACAGGAATGTAGTAAGTGTTTTTGTTAAGTGGTCAGCAGACAACAGAATGTCTCCTTCACGCTCCTGCTGTAATTTAATTTAGAATTGTTTTCTTAGCACTTTTTATAAACTTTATCAAACATCTGTTGTAACCATTACAAAAAAGACTTAACACGCAAATTCTGGCCTTAACCAAAGAGACATTTTCTAGCCTGTTTTCCTCTTAACTGGACATGTTCAAAGTATAATTTTTAGGTAGGCATTGTTACACTGCTGTACCTCTAAGAGTATAATCTCACATTAAAAAAAAAAGATTTATTTATTTTTAGGGAGAGGGGAAGGAAGGAAGAAAGAGGGAGAGAAACATTAATGTGTGGTTGCCTCTCACACGCCCCCAATTGGGAAGCATGCCATAACCCATGCATGTGCCCTGACTGGGAATCCAACAGGCAACTCTTCGGTTCCCAGTCGCACACTCAATCCACTGAGCCACACTAGCCACGGCACACAATGTTGCTTTTTACGCTGCCTGTAGAAACTCAGGTCTTTGTCATTCTAACAGCACCATCCTCTTTACCAACACAAACCACCAGCACTGCCGAGGTGCAAAACAATTACTGTCGTTCGCCATCACAAGAGAAATGAAATTAAAGCAGGCAGCAAAGAAGCAGGCCAAAGGCACTCACTTAATCGGGGGCGCTTCCAAGCCCGGCGCCCAACACTGGGGAGCCCGCGACCAGTCGAGCGCAGGGCTCACGAGCGACGCCCAGGAGCCTGGCAGCCACGCAGTGAAGTGACATGGCACGTCACTTCCGCTCGCGGGGGGTGATGGGGCGGTGTGCGGCCATTCTCGCTGTTCGCGTTGCTCCGTTTTGGTATTTGTGGGTCGGGTGGCACTGGTAGTCGCAAAATGAGCGAGGCGGACGGACTACGGCAGCGCCGTCCCCTGCGGCCGCATGTCGTCACTGATGACGGGCAGATCCCGGGGACCAAGGACGGCAGGTAGGCCCGGCCCCCAGACTTTGTCCTCGAGCGGTGGGGCCGACCGCAGAGCACGAAGATGGCACTAATAGCAACCGGGTATATGCGGTCCCGACGCACGGCATGCTGTGTCATTTAACACCCTTGGCAAAACTCATTTTACAGGGAAGAAACAGGCTCTGATCAAGCTGGTGGCACCTGGCAGACCCTGGAGGCTTTGCGCATGCTCTGCGCCCAATCGCGGCGTTATTCCGGGCTCTAGGTCCCGAGGCCTCCTCGCATCGCACCTGCCCCTCCTGCTTCAGCTTCCAGAGCGGTGGTTTCCTCGCTTTCCCTTTCCCTACTCGCTGGCCTTCTTGTTGGCCTACCATACGTGTCCACGGGTAGAGCCATCTAGCCACTACCCTACCTTCCCGGTTCTGCGCTCGCACAATCCTGAAGGGAGGTCTGAAAAGATGGTTCGGGGCGCGCCTGGATATGCCAGCTAAGAGCTGGCTTCTGTACTTGGCCCCCTCTTTCTGAGTAGGACCAGTCCTCGCTGCGGTTTTCCGGAAAGAGTAGCGAGCAGAGAAGTGACTTTGTTAGGCAATTTTCGTGAGAATTCAGCCTTGCCGATTTTTCCTAATACGGACCGAGAAGCAGAGGAAACTGTAGTTGTTGATGCCTAATGAAAGAAACCTCAGGTTTTTGGCCTTTGCTTCTGTCAGCCTTCCAGAATTTAAGTATGCTCTGTTTTGTTAGATAAAAACTGAAGCATGATCCTTAATCATCTATTTTAATGTAAAATACTTAAACTTCTGTTTTTAATTTTGCATCCTGAGTCTCATAACTTGGGGAGAACCAAGTGGCCTTATATAGAACAAGCTCAAAGTTGTGGAACTGATTGACTTATAAGTTTATACAAATAGAAATATTTATTGGCGTGGCAAGGGATATGGTAGATACTGAATGAGGGACAGTTTTTGCCAGGACAGACTGACTTTTGAATTTATTCACCTATGATAATAAGAGGAACACTTTGAAGGAGAGATATAACAGAAAGGAGTGTTTTGGTCTAGAAAGGTGATTCGCAGAGAAGACTTTCTGGTAATATCTGGCTCCTGGGCTCAAACCATCCTATTTGCCCTGGACTCAGAAACTTCCAAGGATGCAGGCCTTTCAGTGCTAATCTTGGCAGACCAGGACAAATTGGTCACCCTGTTGACTGTGGATGTTGATTGTGAAGTCATCCTCTGGTGATGACTGAGGAGCCTTTTAGAATGGCCATGCAAGAACCAGCAGTGCTTTACTATAGAAACCATAGAGACAAGGCATGCCATGTGTAGCATCCAGCAAACGTGAGAACAAATATTGGAGACTTTCAGGGTATCAAAGATGTTACTTTATTGGCCAAGTTTAACCTGTGCAGGGGCGAACTCTCAAAGTGTCCAGCGACACAGTGCCCACAAGGAGCTGCAAACGAGAGCCGCGCCAAGCGCTTCAGCTAAGTCCTTATATAGGGCCGGGCAAGCAAGCGTTATACAGAAGCAGACGTGGCAGTTAGTAATTCGCTTACAAAGACCGTGCTCGGGAATTTCAAACCAAGCATTCTTTCATAAGGCGGGAAGGCAGGATGTTTGTTCATTAACCTAGTAATCTCCTGGCTCTAGCTAGCTAGGTTCTTATTTTCTGATTAAAACTACAAAGCATTGCTTATCTAGCCTACCCAGGGGAGAGCATCTGCTAGACACAGGATGTTTGCTTAACTGCACTCTGTCTCTTTTATCATTTCTTTTTAGCTACAATGTGGTTCTTGTCTATTAAGGTTAAATTTAATTCTTAATTTCCTTGTTCCCAACACCATGTACACTTTTACATGAGAAATGTAAGCTGGCCCTTACATGAAAGTGCAGCTAGCCCTGAGATCTCTGTGAGGTGCAGTGTTGAAAACCAAGGCATATAGCTCCTGATAGGAGCTTACTTACTGGATAGGCCCAAGTCTCACCTGGGCTCCTCTGACACTCCTGGCCCTGCTGCAGAGGGGCAGAGTTAATTAAATTGTTTTTCAGTTTCCCTGTGGGGATTTCTGACTTAATGGCAGGGTAAATTGGATGTTCCAAAGTTGTCTGCTGCTGGTCTTTTCCATTGTACCTTTTTTACATTGTGTTCATTTAAGATACTTTTTTTCAGATTTATTTTATTTAAAAAATATATTTTATTCATTATGTTATTACAGTTGACCCAATTTTACCTCCTTTGCCTTCTACCTGGTACCCCCGCATTCTCTCTGTCAGTAACCCCCGTCCCTTTAGTTCATGTCCATGGGTCAGACACGTAAGTTGTTTGGCTACTCCATTTCCTGTATACTGTTCTTAACATCTCCCTGTTTATTCTGTAACTACAAATTTGTAGTTCTTAATCCCTGCACATTTTCCCCCATTCTTCCCTTTCCCCCTCTCAACTAGTAAGCCTCCAAATGGTCTCCATATCTGTGATTCTGATTCTGTTTGTTTGCTTAGTTTGCTTTTTAGATTCAATTGTTGATAGTTGTGAATTTATTGCCATTTTAATGTTCATAGTTTTGCTCTTCCTTTTCTTAAATAAGTCCCTTTAACATTTTATATAATAGTGGCTTGGTGATGATGAACTCCTTTAGTTTTACGTTGCCTAGGGAGCACTTTATATGCCCTTCCATTCTAAATGATAGTTTTTCTGGATAGAGTAATCTAGGTTGTAGGTGCTTGCTTTTCATCACTTTGAAAACTTCTTGCCAGTCCCTTCTAGCCTGCAAAGTTTCTTTTGAGAAACTAGCTGACAGTCTTATGGGAACTCCTTTGTAGGTAACCATCTGCTTTTCTCTTGCTGCTTTTAAGATTCTTTATCTTTAATCTTTGGCAATTTAGTTATTTATTTATTTTTAAGATTTTATTTGTTTATTTTTAGAGAGAGGAAGGGCTGGAGAAGGAAAGAAACATCAATCTAATGCTAAAATGAAGACATCTATAGTCTAGGAGCCCCACTATAGTTGCCTCTTGCTCACCAGGGACTCTCTGCCAGGGACCTGCCCTGCAACCCATGCATTGTATCCTGATTGCGAATTGAACTGGTTACCCCTCAGTTTGTACGCTGGCACTCGATCTACTGAGTCACACCAGCTAGGCCTAACCTTTGGCATTTTAATTATGACGTGTCTTGGTGTAGTCCTTTTTGTGTCCATCTTGTTTGGGACTCTGTACGTCTAGGACTTGTATATCTATCTCCTTTGCCAAATTAGGGAGGTTTTCTTTTATTATTTTTTCAAGTAAGTTTTCAGCCCTGGCTGGTGTGTCTCAGTGGATTGAGTGCCAGCCTGTGAACCAAAGGGTTGCTGGTTCAGTTCCCAGTCAGGGCACATGCCTGGGTTGTGGGCCAGGTCCCCAGTAGAGGGACGTGTGAGAGGCCACCACACATTAATGTTTCTCTCCCTCTTTCTCCCTCCCTTCCCCTCTGTAAAAATAAATAAAATCTTTAAAAAGAAAGTTTTCATTTCTTGTTGTTTCTCTTCCCCTTCTGTCACCCCTATCATTTGAATGTTGGTATGTTTGAAGTTGTCCCAGAGGCTCCTTAGCCTGTCCTCGTGTTTTTGGAGTGTTTTCTTGCTGTTCTGGTTGGATTTCTTTCATTCCTTCCAAATTATTGATTTGATTTTTGGCTTCATCTACTTCACTGTTCTTGCCCTGTAAATTGTTCTTTATTACAGTTAGTGAATTAGTTGTTTCTGACTGATCTTTTTTATGCTCTTCAGGTCCTCACTAAGTTCCTTGAACATTCTCATAACCAGTGTTTTCAACTCTGCATCTGACAGATTGCTTATCTCCATTTTGTGTACTTCTTTTTCTGGAGTTTTGTTCTGTTCTTTTGGGCCATATTTCTTTGTCTTTCTGATCTTGGCAGCCTCCCTATATTTGTTTCTATGTATTAGGTAGAACTGTTTCACTCCCTGTCTTAGTAGCGTGGCATATTGTAGAAAATTGCACTGGTAAATTGGGTGTGGTACAGCAGGGGTGTCAAACTCATTTTCACCGGGGGCCACATCAGCCTTTTGGTTGCCTTCAAAGGGCTGAAATAATTTAAGGACTGTATAAATGTAACTACTCCTTAACTGTTAAGGAGTTGAAATTACATTTGGCCCTTTGAATATCTGTTTAATGCCCACAAGTAACTGTTTAGGACTGAAAACTGAATGCATTGAGAATTTAACAGCTGCTTTTTCAATAGTTTTTCTAAAGGACTTTAGAGTAATTAAAAACCTCTACTAGGTCAATTTTATTTTTTCCTTTTTAAGACTGAAGAGTAAAGGAAGCAGTGTGGAGGAACAGATGGGGATGCCATAAATTCATAAAGTCATGAGGATTTAGGAATCTGGAATTTTCTTCTCAGCCCTTTCCCTGCCCTGGTATGTGTTTTCAAATGGCTCCTTTAATTTCTTAGTTATTCTCAATGCTAAAATGAAGACATCTATAGTCTAGGAGCCCCACTATAGAGGAATGTGAAAAATGAACAAATTGAAGGTGCATTCACTTAAAAAGGTGGATTTTGTTGCTGTTTGACTTTTTCAGTTTCCAGAGATCACTTGACACCTGCAGTTCTTGTCCTCTATGGATTTGGGGCTTACAGGTTTCCCACAAAAATCACAGGTTGTTTTTACTCTCATAGGGTCTGTTGGTCAGGACTTTAGTCCATGACTGAAGACTCTGATGTCCTGTGTACTGAAGGAGTTTGAGAATGCCCTTCATATTTGGTTGGTGAAAGTAAAGGATTTTGTAGATTGTGGTTGAGACAACAGTAATTGCATCACTGTGATTGTTTGCTTGCCTTTAGAGACTGTGGGAAATTTCAGGGTGCAGATGTCCTCAAGAGGTGAGCATCACCCGGGGCTCTTGAGGAGATTGGGGCAAACAAGTTGATTTCCCAGACTGTACCTGGGAAGGAAGTTGTTAGCTTTCCTGAATGTGTTAGCACAGATTGAGAAGGGGATTGTGATGGGCTTTGTCAGTGAAAATGGTTAGGGATAAATGGAGTATCTTTTATTTAAGTTACCATAATGCAGGTGTGCAGAGAAAAGGGGCACACATGGAGGAAAGGCAGAATTGTAGTTAACGATGAGTTTGCAGGAACTGCAATGAGATGGGCCTGTCAAAAAGTTAATGAACCTGGGGATAAAATAAGTGTGTTTAGAGCATGGGTACAGAAACCACTGCAAGGAACTATGCACCACACAGTCAGGGATACAGTTGCTCCAGGGAGCTGCAAGTCCTGGAACCTACCACTTACTGAGAGCTTTTTATGTTCCAGGCTCTGGTCTTAGCATCAGTCACATTGGTTCTTTTACTAGCTTGATGTGGTGCTGTCTGTAGCAAGTTTGGGGCTGGGGAGAGCAGAGTGTGTGCATGTCTGAAGAGTGGTAACCCTTGTGAGGCTGTCCTGAAACTTTGGGTTTCATAGGGTCAGATCTATTGCTTTTTCTAGAGAGGCCAGAAACCACATTTTTCTTTGAAATCCCTTATTTTTCAGTTTGGGCAACTAAAACCATTTTGTGGAGCGATAGTTTATGGTTTAGACTAGACCTTTGCCTTGAGTTGTGGGCATCACATTTTATGGGAGACTTTGGCAAACTCTGAAACAACCAGAAAAGAGAATGTTCTGCAAACCCCACCATTTGAGAAGCTCTAGTAGGACTGGGGACACTGCCTGGAGACCATAGAACTGAGAGTGTTATGACTTCAGGCATCAGATCTAGGGAGGGCTGTCTAGGAGGGCAAGAATTTGGTGCTCCTAAGGGCAGAACTGCAACCAATCAGTGCAAGCAAGGGGAAAATGTGTTTCTCAGAACATGTTGCATGAGATCATGTGGGCAGACAAAGTCCCTGAGTCAAAGAATTAGGGAAATACTCTATGTATGTTCTGGCCTTCTGGACGTTGACCATGCACACTGGCAGGCACTTTCCTGGTCTTCAGAGCTGTGTGGGATATGCCCCCAGCAATGGGCCTGACAGGTCTAGCAGCTTCCCTTCATTCACTCTGCCTCATACTCCCTGTTTGGGTCATTATGCCTCTGTGGTCAAGTCTTAAAGCATGTATCCTTCACTTATGTGCCAAGTGCTTGTTGAGTCCAGCTGTGTTTCCTTTGCCTGTGTTGCTTTGCCCCAGATATTTGATTTCTCTGAGCTTCATTGAATTTCTCTATTCTGAGGTCATCTGCTTTGACCTCTGTGTGTGGCCAGCTCTCCCCATCACTCTACCCCCGACCCTACTGTATTGTTCTTCATTGTACTTGTTACTGTCTGGTGTTTGCTTATTTATACTAGAATACACAGAGGAGATCAGGAAACTGTATTTTGTTTATGGCTATACTCTCAGGGCTTCATTTACTACCTGGCACATGTATGTAGGTGATTATTAAATGATTGCATATGAAGGAATATTAAGTTAAGTCTGCTGTCCGATGTTATGACCACTTGGCTATATGTAGCTATTTAAGTTTAAATTAATTAAAAAATGTTAATTAACTAAAATTAAAAATTCAGTTCCTCATTTGTGCTAGATAGGGAGTTTTAGGGGATTTTGAGGGAAAGGGATCAAGGAAAAAGATGACTGAGGTGGCAGTCACAGCACACAAGCTTTATTGGGTGACACTTTGACAGGTTTGCATGTGAAGGACAACAGGAGGGGTGCCACAGTCCTGAGGGGAGGAGGGCAAGGGAACTCTAGAAGAGAGGGGGAACAGAGAGAGGGCTCCCTGGTCAAGGTGAGTCTCTGGGTCAGAGAACTCCAAGGATAGCACTGGCTGGGCAAGGCCATTTTATCAGTGGGCAACAGCCGTCAGGTGAAGTTTCACAGAATGTGGAAAGCAGTCAGATGCTAAATGGCTGAAAATTTGTTTGTTTGGGCTAATTTTAAAAATAATTAGATTTGTAAAATTTGGAGTTTGGCACTGTGGGCCTTTTGAGCTAATGGTTCTCACATCTTGCAGTGAAGAAATAAACAACCCAGGGGCCTGATACACATAGGTGGCCTTTGGATCATTTGTATAATACGTTAGCCCCATTTCAGGTGCTCTGTAGCCACACATGGCTAGTGGCTGCTATATTTCTGTCATTGCAGAAAGCTCCATCAGACAGCACTGCTCAGGGAGTTAAGGTGATATTTCTAAAACATGACCACAAAACTTTCCAATAGAGGCTAGCTGATGATAAGTGACTTGGGTGTTGATAGACTACTTTCACTGGGGAGGGAGTTAAATAAGGTTGGTGGTGTCTAGTTGCATATCAGAAACAACTGGAAAGCATGAAAGGAAAAAAAGCTTCCAGGCCAATGCTGGACCTATCCAATTAGAATATCTGGGCCTTGTTTAAAGCTGCCCCAGTCAAAGATTATACTTTCTGGGATCATTTCTATAGTTTGTTAAAGCTGCCTCAGTCATATGGTGAGTGGGCTTTGGGTGAAGAAATTCACCTGCAGTGGTTTGGCTGGTTTTTGGGAAGTTAGTACTGGCATCAAGGTCCCCATATTTCTATCTGGATCTGGTTTATGCAGAAGAAGATTATCCTGTCAAAATCAAGCAAAACACTGCCCTTAAATTATTTGTTTTTTTAAGTGTATTGATTTTTTTTTTGATAGAAAAAGGATTATTGCCCTGGCTGGTGTGGTTCAGTTGGTTGGAGCATCGTCCCAGAAACAGAATGGTTGTGGGTTCAATTCCCAGTCAGGGCACATACCTAAGTTGTGGGTTCAGTCGGATCAGAGCATGCATGAGAGGCAGCCGATTGATGTTGCACTTTCTCATCGATGTTTCTCTCCTTCCCTTTCCCTCTCTCTAAAATCAATAAGTAAGTCCTTGTGTGAGGATAAACAGAAAAAGAAAAAGATTATCTATCTTAGGAGCTTATGATTCCATTTTCTTTAAATTTTTTTTTAACTATTAGGAAAATTTTTTGTTGTTTATTATCATGAGGCATCGAAACATCTCAACAAATCAATATCTGGGCAGTGAAGCAGCTGCTTTCTCCTTCACTTTGGGTTACTGGAACAACTTGCCAACAGATTAAAAAAAAAGACAAGCTCAGTGGACTGAGCATGGGCCTGTGAACCAAAGGGTTGCTGGTTCGATTACTAGTCAGGGTACATGCCTGGGTTTTGGGCCAGGTCCCCAGTAGGGGGCATGCAAGAGACAACCACACATTGATATTACTCCCCTTCCCTTTCTCCTTCCCTTTCCCTCTCTAAAAATAAATAAGTAAAATCTTTAGGGAAAAAATATTGCCTTTTGCATTACTTAAGTCTTTCCAAGGCATGAACTGGTACAATACAACCTTCTCTTGTCAGATGTAACTAGTCTTGTGTCCAAACATCATATACAATACCTAGCTAGCAGCAGCATACTGTGCCCACTTCCACCATGGCCCTGCTCATTTGTGTATGATATTTGGAGCATCTGGAGGAATGTGAATAATATCGGGAAGAAGAAGGAGGAAGAAATAGTATGAGTGCTTCACCAGATGGTCAGCTGAAGTTGTGCAGGGCAAGCCTAAAATGTCATTGGTGCAAACCCAAGCATTGTCGATGTTCTTTAATAGGAACATCTGGTGTAACCCCATGATGGGATCTTTGTCAGCCTTAAGCTGGTCCACAACCATACTGATGATGCAGCTATCTGGCGTGGGCTGATGGTCCTGTGCCTTGGGGCTGTGCTGGATTTTCTGGAATGGAAAGCTAGACCACTTCTTCACAATGGCAGCTTTCCCCTGGAATTGCTGTCCTTCCCACGCAAGGCATGACACATGAGTAATGTACATTGTGCCTAGTTGGGTTCTGTCATTATCAAGTAACTTGCAGTAATGCTGAAAGAAGCTGGATCCAGTCTGCTCCCATATTGGCTTGTCTCTCATTCTGGAGTGTCACCAGGCCTCATTGAGACCTGAGGGTCTGAGACAATGGTGGCAGCAGAGGCAGAAACCCATTGTGGTCTGCTGCTTTAAATTAATCTTGACGTCAAGTGTTTAGTAAATTTCAATGCACTTAATATAAGCAAATAATGATCCTATAAAGTTTATTTAGTAGCAAGAGGCTAAATGTGTTCACTTTTTTTTTTACCAGGTGAGTAACGATGTAGGTGAGGATCATTTGAGAGAATTTTAGTCACTGTTGGTCATTTGTCCCAAAACTTAACGAGAGATTCCTAAGGCAGATTTCACATCTTCCCAGGGCCTTAGTATTGATGACTTGGAATTGTAATTTTATAGATTTTTTCTAAATAACTGTCAGTATCTGTCAGACTCCTAGGTTGAAGAGCTGGGTTTACCTTTTGAGGTTTTAAAGGTGTGATCTACAAATGACTGGGGAATCGGATGCTCAGGAAGTTGTTGTTCTTCCTCTGCCTCATGAATTTGTCTCTGTCTCTTTTGTTCACAGAACCTGAGAATCTAGGAACATAATGTACTGAGTGTTGCTGCTTTGAATTCATGTACCAGAAAATAGTGGCTTTTGAGGAACACCTGTCTTCTCTGTAGATGAGTGTGTCTTCCCTTATTGTAATTCTTTACTCCCATTACTTTTTGTGTTCATCAGTGCTTTGAATTTTCTCTCTTTAAAACTCACTAGAGGATTTAAGGTACAACCTATCATACTATCTGGAAAATAACTGATAAGAGTGCCCCACACAGCTGGAAGATTAAAAAAGAACAAAAGCATGTTTGCCAATACTAGCAAATAGTGCTAAAGTTGAGTCACAAGCCACAGAAATTGATGGTGTCATTGTGGAGATGTGGGGTGAGAAGCCTGTTCCTGCTGAAAGGGCTTTGAGAACAGCCAAATTGTCACTGCCTGAGCCTCTGTTGATTGATTACCTTTGTATATATTTCATTTCTGACAGTTCCTTTAGTGGCAGAGTTTTCCGAGTGACCTTTTTGATATTGGCTGTTTCCCTCACCATTCCACTTCTTGGAGCCATGGTGCTGCTGGATTCTCCCATAGATCCACAGCCTCTCAGGTGAGCTGCCCCAGCAATTCTTGGGAGGGATTGCTCAGTAAAGTATAATAGGCTGGGATGATTTCTTGACTAATTAAACCAATCTGATTTGAAAGGTAAGTTATGAGAAATAAAGATTTGATTTTTTTGCCTGCATTTTATATTGAATTAGATATTCCACAAAATATATGCATGGTGTTGCCCATGTTATTGTTTCAAAAACAAAACTATATAAATCAAAAACAAAAACCAGAAGAATCCCAAATAAGAGAAGCTTAAGTATTAGACACAGTTAAGCTGAATTAATAAGAAGTGGCAAAAGCATACACAAATGGAGGTTACTTTGTTTAAATTTTGTAAGTAACTGATTAAAAAAAAAACTTGCAATTAATGTTCTTTTTTTCCTAAGTTACCTTTCCTCATTGGTGATCTGTGAACAATACAATCTGTTATAACTTGATAAAATAGTATACATTTAGGGAGCCCCATGAAATGTATTCATATTCTTAGTTATATTAAGACTGAGTCAGACTCCTATTGCTGTGATTTATGACATTGATGTTTACATGGTACAAGAAGGTCATGCAGCCTGGTTCAGTAAGTTCCTGTTTTCTTCCATTGCAACTGCCTGGAGGGATGAGCAGTCTGAAGTTTATTTTAAGTGAATTGGTCTATGTAAGGTTTAAAAACTCCAGAAAGAACCATGTCTTATTTTGAAGTAAATATAACATATGCAACTCTATAATGTATTGGTGTTTTGTATCTAACTGATATCTACCTGCAGGACATATCAATTGTTCTGACCTTAAATTGACATACATAGAAAAGAGTCAACTTTTTGTTGTTGGATTGGAAATTAGTTAAGATACATGGTGTTATTAAAACACAATTAGCTTGCATAAGATTGAATTAAATTGACAATGGGTTGAGGCCTGGGTACTTTAGATTCATATGCATATTTGCTCTGTAATTTCTGGTGTGCCAATATTTCCTTGCAAGGACACCCTAGATGTTCTCTCTGAGAGGGTTCTGGGACACATAGAAGGGAGGGGCCTCTTTCTTGCTAACCCCTCTCAACGTGTGGAAGGATGTGGCTCAGCCCAACCCAAATAGAAACTGACCTGGACTTTTCTGTTCATTTGGCAAGGTGATAAAATGAACTGTGTCCACAGGTGGGGATTAAAGTCTGGGCTGGGGAGGTAGCCTTGGGAAAGAGGAGGAAAGTAGAGAGAGCAGGTAAAGATGGAATTTCAGAGTTGGAGTGGGAGGGATGGAGCTTAAGTGACTGAAGACCTTTGATCTCAGTAAAGGTGAACTTAGGTATGGAAAGAGTAGTGAAGAGATTTAGAGGAAAGGTGGGTGTGTACTCATGACCAGAAACTGAAAGGAGACATGATCTAGTAAGGATTTAAAGTTGTGCATGAGAATTCTGCCTGGGCAGTAGATGAGCCTGATGAAGAAGGAAAGGTGGAGAAAACTAGTGAAATCAGTGTGGCCGATAGAATCTCTCCCACAGGCTCAGATTTATGGAATGACTTGCCCAAAAATTGGAAGCATGGACCTCAAAGTGCAGACAAACAGCAGAGTGGCTGAGAGTTATAAGAACAGAAATAAATTGAGGTTTGGGAAAAATGCTAATGACAACAGCAAAAAAATCCTTCTTTCAAACTCTCTTCAGAGCAAAAAGAGCAAGGAAGGAGGAGACCCACGGTTTGGGGTGAGAGATACAGTGTTGATGAGGTCAGAAAAGCAGAGCTACTAGTTTATGCTCTACCTCAGTCATCTCCCAGCCAAGGGAGATGCCATGTACAATGGGATCAGGTCCGCTGGCAGAGCTGGATGTCAGCAATGGCAGTGATTCGGGAAGCCTACCTCCAGGGTGCTAATGACCTCTATTTGAGTTTAGACCATGCTTAGAAATCTTTAAGAAATCAGAGAACAGATATACCAGAGACAGGAGGGGTGGAACCCTTCCAGAGCAGGTTGTTACGCATTAGTTTTAGTTCTAGGGAGTAAAGTCACCTAGAAGGCTGCAGGGCTTTGCCAAAACCTCACATGCGAAGCCACTTCCATTTTGGAAGACTAGAGGACTGTTATATACAGAACATTTTTAGATATTATTTACTTATTTTAGAGAGTAGAGAAGGAAGGGAAAAAGAGAGGGAGAGAAACATCTATGTGCAAGAGATACATAGATCGGTTGGTTGCCTTTCACATACCCCTACCTGGAGACCTAGCCATCAACGCAGGTATGTGCCCTGATCAAGAATTGAACCAGTGACCTCTTAGTTACAGGTTGGCACTCAGTCCGCTGAGCCACACCAGCCAGGGCTCTCCTTGGGCTTTATGTGTTTATGTTGTTCAATCTTCACATATACCTTTGGGAAGTATGACCTTTTGGAGGTCAGAATCTGAAAGCAGATTTGTACAACTCCACCAAAAATGCAGGTTACAGTCCTGCTCTTCCTTTGTAAATAAAATTCCTAGTTAAATTAAGTATTTTTTTTTCAGCAAGTTGAAAATCATAATGATGGGGGAGAGGGGCAATTTAATTTGAAGGAAGTTGTGCCATGTTCTGCACAGTGCCCACGGAGAGTGGGTGGCAAGGGTGAAGTGTTTTGCCAGCAAGGCAGAAAGCTTTTTTCCACATCCTCAACCACTCCCTCCACCCACCTTGTGTCTCCCACTCTGGTGGTCTGGCTAGGCAACTGCTTTGGTGGAGGGCAGGGTGCGGAGGGAATTGGGAGGTTGCTCCACCACTTCTCACCTTCCCACTCCTTCTGTAGTGTTCATTAGGAGCCTCCTATATGCCCAGTGGTTGGAATACAGCAGTGAAAAACAGAACAAATCCCTGATCTCATCTGCTCATCTACAAGGGGATAGATAGATAATAAACACAACAGAAGTAAGAAGCTGAAATGGGCTCTGAACCCAATAGAGTTGGGGGGTACTGTGCTTTTGAAAATTAAATTGGATGGTCAGAGCAGGTCTCACTGAGAAGGTGAGAGTGAAGGGAATAGCCAGTGTGAAGGACTTAAGATGGAAGATGTCTAGTGCAGTCAAGAACCAGCAGGAAGAGAGAAAATTGTACTGCCAACAATAATTAAAATAAAATTTAAAAACTATCAGGAAATGGCTGGTGTGGAGGGGTAGAGTATAGTACTAGGAGAGGGGAGAGAGAATTGACAGGCCATATGGTGTAGGGCTAAGAACCACAGCAAGGACTTAGGCTTTAGGTGAGATGGGGCCATTACAAGGCTTTGAGCAGATAAATGCTGTGATCTGACTATAGTGCTCACATGGGCTACTGGGTTGAGAATAGACTATTGAGGACAGAGAGGAAACAAAGGAGAGAAGACAGTTGCCTGGACCAGGGTGGTAGCAGAGGACATGAGGCAAAAGGGTTCAGTGATGTCTGTCTTTTAGAGGTGGCATCAGCATGATTTGCTGATGGATTGGGAGAAAGAATATATTTGCATGAGGAGGGAAAGATCTGAGGAGAGGGAAGAGTTCCTGGAGCCCAATCTGAGTGAAGGAAGGGAGGCAGGGCCCAGTGGAAACTATCTTCAGAGAGAAGCCAGATGGGTCCTGAGGGTGCACCTATGCTGGACGATAGGGCAGTGGCACCAGTTCTCTATGCACTTATCTCATTCCTTCTGTCTTCTCTATGAAGCAAGGCTGTCAGCTGTGAAATGTCCACATGGCTCCCCTCCATCTCCATTGGACTTGAATGGGAGGGCAACCACTGGGAGTATAAATGCCAGTGTGTGTGAATCATGGGGTGTGAGGAGGTTTAACATGCTGCAAGGCATTGGACTTGTGATAAACAGTTCAGGTGGGTGGAGGCCCTGAATGCTCTCAGATGGCAGGTGATTGATTGCAAAATTTGCAATCACCTGCCATCTGAGGGACAGTTTTTTCTTAACTTTTATATTTCTGGCAGATAAGGATATTACTGGAATGATCGCTTTTTATCAATGGAATTATACATGTTGTAGGTCCTCAGTAAACACTTTCTTCATGTGTTTTCTATAGACAAATCCCTATAATTGCATTATTTTACAGCTTCAAAGAACCCCCTCGCTTGCTTGGTGTTCTGCAACCAAATACGAAGTTACGACAGGTGGAAAGGCTATTTGAAAATCAACTTATTGGGCCAGAGTCCATAGCAAATATTGGGGGTAAGTAAACCCCTGGAACTTCAGAGTCTGTCTGGGATAACTTTGATACTGTCTGTTGTTTTGGAGGGGGGATTCTATAGGAACAGCCACTGGCACCCTGCTCCTGGTTTGGGGAGCCTTCGCCATCTTTGGCTACAGATGTTGTGTGATGTGCATGTGTTTGTTGAGCAGACATCCTGAGGGAGCTTCTCGGCTCTTTGAATTATGGGCCATTTCAGTATGGGGTGATTTTGAGTTCTTTTCTGTGGAGCACTTTATTTGGCTCAAATTGTTGGACTGGACCTGTTAAAAAGAAATGAAAAAATGCAGATATTGATGTTTAGTTCATTTATTAAAGTTATGTAGATATTTCTTGACAGGACATTGTTTCTTAGCTGAGTTTGTATAGATTTCATTTTTGAAAAGAATATAAATGATTCTTAATATTTCTACTTTTTTTTCTTCAGAATTGTCCAAACCTAAGAACTAGAATTGGGTGTGGTGCTAATACTAGAGTCTCTAGCAGCATGAAACAGTGCACTTTCTATTAGAATGAGAATTAAGGTTTGGAATGAAAAGATAAAATTAAAGTTGCTGTACTTAATATGGTATGAGGATTTCTGAGCAGCTTAACTGGGCACTCTGCTTCTAATTCTAAAGTATTACATGTTTTCTGTGAAGTAGTTTTGGACAGTGCGATGGGGGTCCTCCTTTGTTTTGTTTTGAAGACAGACCAGGGCCACTGCCCCTGTGATATTGACCATTCATCTGTCCCAGATCTCTTGTTCCATGCAGAACCCAAACACTGGTGGATTTCTGCAATGGTTTGTTTGGCTGGCAAAGTCAGAATTGTTTGAAGAGGAATAGGTACTTGATGATAGAACTTCATATTTTCATGAAAAGACATTAATATTCAATATTAATACATTTCTTCAAAAAAATTTTTTTTGGTGAAAAAATCAAATTTTGGAAGTCAAAACTGGAACTTGGAGGAGTTAAAGTGATTTTTAAAAAAACTTTCAAAGAGAAGTCTATTCTTGTGTTTTTCTTTTCTGCCTGGGTGAACATTTCATTGTACTCTAGCACCAGATAGAGCTGGTTATCTTCCTGGTGACATTTCTGGTTAGGCACAAGGAGCGGCAGAGGGCAGTGCGGGGGTTGGGGGGGGTCTGTCTAGTTAGCCTCCTGCAGATGTGAACCCTAAGGAGGATTTTGGCTATTCAAATAGGTGTGTAGTGGGTACATCATTGTTTTAATTTGTAGTTCCCTAATGACATAGATGTTGAGCATCTTTTCATATGATTATTGACAAGCTGTTTAAGTCTTCTGGCAATTTTAAAAATTGAGTTATTTTCTTATTGTTGAGTTTTAAGAACTCTTTGGATATTATGGATAACAATCCTTTAACAGATGTGTTTTCTACCAATATTTTCTTCCAGTCTATGGCATGTCTTGTCATTCTCAACAGTGCCTTTATAGAACAGAAGTTTGAAATTTTTTTTTAAAGATTTTACTTATTTTCAGAGGGGGAGGGAGGGATTAAACGAGGAAGAGAAACATCAATGTGCAAGAGAAACATTGATTGCTTGCCTCTCACATGCCCACAACCAGAGACCCAGGCATGTGCCCTCACTAGGAATCAAACCTGTGACCTTTTGGTTCTTAGGCAGGCACTCAATCTGTTGAGCTACACCAGCCAGGGCAGATGTTTTTAATTTTAATGAGATCCAGCTTATCAGTCCTTTCTTTCATGGATTGTCTTTATGATTATGTCTAAAACATTATCTCCACACCCAAGGTCAACTAGTTAACACTGATACTATCTTCCACAGTTCTGCATTTTACAGTTAAGTCTGTTTTGAGTTAATTTTTATTAAGGTTGTAAGGTCTGTAGGTCTGTGTCTAGATTTTTTGTGTGTGTGCTTGTGTATGTCTGGTTTTTCCAGCACAATTTGTAGAAAAGACTATCTTTGCTCTATTGTACTGCCTTTGCTCCTTATCAAAGATGAGGTGACTATATTTATGTGGCTCTGTTTCTGGACTCTATTCTGTTGCAATGATCAATTTACTTTTTCTTTTGCATTATCATGCTGTCTTAATTCCTGCAGCTTTATAGTAGTTTCAAGTCAAGTAGTGACAGTTCTCTGATGTTCTTCGATGTTGTGTTGGTTATTCTGCATCTTTTGCTTTTCCATATTGAAACTTTATAATCAGTTGGTGGATATCTAGGAAATAACTTGCTGGATTTTGATTGGGATTCCTTTAAATATGTAAATCAAGTTAGGAAGAACTGACATCTTGACAATATTGATTCTGTGTCCATAAACATGGGGTATCTCTCCATTTATGTAGTTTTTTGATCTTCCATTATAGTTTTATAGTTTTTCTTATGTAGAGATTTGTTTTTAGATCTCAATTATGTCATTCTTTTGGAATGCTAATGTAAATGGTGTTCTGTTTTTAATTTCAAATTTTACTTGTTCATTGCTGGTATATAGGAAAGCAATTGACTTGAATATTATTCTTGTATCCTGCAACCTTATTAGTTCTGGGAGGTTTAGTTGTTGATTCTTTTGGGTTTTCTGCTTGGATAATTACATCATCTGTGAAGAAAAACAATTTTAGTTCTTTCTTCTCAATTAGTATAGACTTTATTTCCTTTTCTTGTTTTATTGAATGAGCTAAGGCTCATTCAGTACAGTATTGTAAATGAGTAGTGAGAGTGGACATTCTTCTGTTGTTCTTGATCTCAGTGAGAAAGCTTCTTGTTTGTTACTATTAAGTATGATTTTAGCTGTACATTTTTCTTTTTTTAAAATAGATGTTCTTTATCAAGTTGAGAAAGTTTTTTTCTATTTCTGATTTGCCGAAAGTTTTATCATGAATGGCTGCTGAATTTTGTCAAATGCTTTTTCTGCATCTGTTGCTGTGATCATGCGATTTTTCTTCAGCCTGTTGATGTTATGGGTTACTTAATTGATTTTCAAATGCTGAACTAGCCTTGCACACCCTGGATAAATCCAAGTTGGTTGGGTGTCTAATTCTTTTTACATATTGTTGAATTAGATTTGCTAGTATTTTGTTGAGGATTTTTGTATCTTTGTTCTAAAAAGAGGTTTGGGTATTAGGGCAGTGCTGACTTCATAGAATGAATTAGGTAGTATTCCTTCTGCTTCTGTCTTCTGGAAGAGATTGTAGAGAATTAATATCATTTCTTCCTTAAATGTTCATTAGTATTCACCAGTGAACCCATTTTAGCCTAGTGTTTTCTGTTTTGGAAGCTATAAATTATTGATATGTTTCTTCAGGAGATATAGGCTTATTCTAATAGTCTTAGTTCTTGTGTGAGTTTTGGCAGATTGTGTCTTTCAGGGAATTGGTTCATTTTCATCTGGATGATGAAATTTGTGGGTACAGGGTTGTTCATAATATTCCTTTATTTTTTTAATACCCATGGAGTCTATATGATGTTCCCTCTTTCATTTCTGAGATTGGTAATTTGCATTTACTCTTTTTTTCCCTTAGTTTGGCTAGAAGATTATCAATATTGGTCTTTTCAAAGGACTAGTTTTTTTGTTGATTTGTCCCTATTGATTTTCTGTTTTCGGTTTCATTGATACTTTAATTTTTATTATTTCTTCTGCTTGTCTTGGATTTAATTTTCTCTTCTTTTTTTAGTTTCCTAAGGTGGAAACTTAGATGGATTATTTTATTTTATTTTCATTTTTTTAAGATTTTATTTGTTTTTTAGAGAGAGGGAAATGGAGGGAGAAAAAGCGGGAGACAAACATCGATGTGCAAGAGAAACATCAATTGGTTGCCTCTCACATGCCCCCACCTGGGGTCCTGGCCCACAACCCAGACATGTACCCTGACCCAGGATAAAACTGGTGACTTTTTGGTTTGTAGGCCAGTGCTCAACCCATTGAGCCATACCAGCCAGGGGTAGGTGGTTGGTTTTAGATTTCTTTTCTAATATATGATTTGGTGCTGAAAATTTCTCTCGAAGCACTGCTTTTGCTGCATTCCACGGATTTTGATAAATCGTTTTTATATTTTCATTTTGTTCAATTTTTAAAAAATTTCTCATGAGATTTCTTCTTTGACTCATATGTTATATAGAAGTGTATGTTATTTAATCTCCAAGCATAATGTGATTCTTTCAGTTTTCTTTCTGTTCATTCCTAGTTTAATTCCATTGTGTTCTGAGAGCAGACATTATATAATTTCTAGCTTTTTAAAATGTGTTAAGGTCAAAAGGCAGATCCGTTTTTAGTTTTCTGATAAAATTCTATACTGTTTTCCATAGTGGTTGTACCAGTCTGCAATCCCACCAACAGTGCCCTAGGGTTCCCTTTTCTCCACAACCTCTCCAACACTTGTTGTTTGTTGCATTGTTTATGATGGCCAATCTGACCGGTGTGAAGTGGTATCTCATTGTGGTTTTAATTTGCATCTCTCTGATAGCTAGTGATATTGAGCATCTTTTCATGTGTCTCTGGACCCTCTGTATGTCCTCCTTGGAGAAGTATCTATTCAAGTCCTTTGCCCATTTTTTAATTGGGTTGCTCGTCGTCTTAGACTGGAGTCGTGTGAGTACTTTATATATTTTGGAGATCAATTCCTTGTCTGAGGTGTCATTGGCAAATATGTTTTCCCATACAGTTGGTTTTCTTTTTAATACTGTTTTCTTTAGTCATTTTTGACCCAGCAATTCCACTGCTAGGATTAAATCCTAAGAACCCTGAAACACTAATCCAAAAGAACCTGTGTACCCCAATGTTCATAGCAGCATAATTTACAATAGCCAAGTGCTGGAAGCAACCTAAGTGTCCATCAGTAAATGAATGGATCAAAAAACTGTGGTACATTTATACAATGGAATTCTATGTAGCAGAAAGAAAGAAGGAGCTCCTACCCTTTGCCATAGCATGGATGCAACTGGAAAGCATTATGCTAAGTGAAATAAGCCAGGCGGTGAAAGACAGATACTGTATGATCTCACCTTTTACAGGAACCTAATCAACAAAACAGACAAACAAGCAAAATATAACCAAAGACACTGAAATAGAGAACAGGCTGACAGTGACCAGAGGGGAGGGGATTTCAGGGGAAAAGGGGAAGGGTTTGCAGGAACAAGTATAAAGGACACATGGAGAAAAACAAGGAGGGGGTGGAAATGGGGAGGAGGTGGGGAGGGCTGGGGGGTGGGGGCTGGGATGGGGGTAAAAGACAGAAAATTGTACTTGAACAACAATTAAAAGAAAATTAAAAAATAAAATGTGTTAAAGTGTCATTTATTGTACAGAATATGTTCTAATTTGGTGAATGTGCCATGTGAATTTGAGAGGAGTGTATATTCCCACCAGTTGGATTACCTAGTTGATATTAATTATATTCAGTTGATTGATGGTGCTGTTTAGTTCAACTGTGTATTTTGCTGAGGTCTCCAACACTAACAGTGGATTGATTTATATATTTTGACACTTTGTTATTAGGCATGTACACATTAAGAATGTCTTCATGCATAAGTGAACCTTTATCATTATGTAAGGTTGGGTTTTATTCTCCTGACAACTTCCCTTGCTCTGAAGTTGTCTGTCTGAAATTAATATAGCTAATTTAGCTTTCTTTTGTTAAGTGTTGACATATTTGTCCAGTCCTCTATTTTTAATGTATATGTGTTTTTACATTTAAGGTGGGTTTCTTATAGACAACATATAGTAGGCTCTTTTTTTAATCTACTCTGACTTCTAAGTCTGTCTTTTAATTGGTATATTGAGGCCATTAATGTTTAAAGTAAGAATTAAAGGAGTTGAGTTAGCAGCTACTATATTTGTTACTGTTTTCTTTCATTGCCCTTGTTTTTTATTCCTAATTTTGTCTTCTACTGTCTACCCTTTGTAGTTTTTATGGTTTCATTTTTTATCCTTTCTTAACATATCAGTTACTTTTATAAAGCTTTTTTTGTGGTTGCCTTAAAATTTGTAATGTACATTTAAAAAATATGTAATATGGCTTGGGCCAGTATAGCTCAGTTGGTTGGAGCATTGTCCAAGTAACCTAGCTGGGGGTTCTATACTGGTCTGGCTGCATAAGATCCTTTGTCTGGGCATGTGCCAGTCTGGGCAGCCAGTCTGTGCTTCTCTCTTGCATTGATGTTTGTCCTTCTTCCTTCCTCTGTCTCTAAAAAAGAAATGAGAAAATGTCCTCGAGTGAGGATTTAAAAAAAAAAAATAAAAAAAATATGTAATGTTTCATGAATTTGCCTGTCATCCTGGTGTTGGGCCGTGCTAATCTCTGTATTTTTTCAATTTTAGTATATGTGCTGCTGAAGTAGTACCAAGTGTGGTTTGATTTTATCCTGAGGGACTTCCTAGCAGTCCTTTCCTTTTAGTTGGATATGATCAGCCTGAACAGCAGACACTGATACGAGACAGACATGAACACTTGTCCCTGAGTGCCAACCCCAAGAGAGTAGAAAATCCTCATGGTTTTATCACTGACTGGTGTCTGCTGCTCCCTTGCTCTGGTGTCAGGTTTAAGCTCACAGGCAGATGACTCAGGACCCCACAATTTTACTGTTGGGTGTTTTAAGGACTTTTGGTTCCCAGATATCACTTCTCCCTCATCTTCAGAACTGCCATTTCTTCTCTGGAGATGAAAAACACCAATAAGCCAGCTCTGTTGTAGAAGAAGGTACTATGATCACAGTTCTTAGGCTAACCAAGTAATACCTTTATTCTTTTTTTATTTTTTTTTAAACAGATGTGATGTTTTCTGGTACAGCAGATGGCCGGGTTATAAAATTTGAAAATGGTGAAGTAGATACCATCGCCCAGTTTGGGTCAGGTCCATGCAGTAAGTCAGTTCCAGCCCCCCTCTTGTATGTCTCGTCCAGTCATTGAGAAAGCTGCCAAATAGCCCTGTGTAAGTCAGGTTCACCCTTGGAGAAAAAGAACCCTGACCACCTGGTAGATAGCCTGACTTGGGTGCTATCACGTGCTCTTAATTTGCCAGTGGTCCTTGGACCTTATGGTGCCTGGTTGTCATCTTTCATATCAGTTTCACGCAAAGCAGTGGCCATAGCATATTGCTGGTTACTTCTTAGCCCTACCACTTGCCATTCTGCAGAGGCCTGTGCTCACTTTTGAGGTATGTTGAAGATTAATAGGTGTTGTCTGAGTGCTACTAGAGCAAAACTGTTGGCTTTGTCATTACTTGGATGCTTAAATGTGATTCCTGCTTTAGCTTCTCAGAAATTTCAGCAGTGTCATTCAAAGTAAAAATACGCTGAAGTCACTTCAATTTTAGAAAACTAGAGTAGAATAATCTTATTGTTCACACATTGGTAGTCCTGACTTCATATTAGTTACCACTTTTTAATAGCTAGAATGTTTTTGTAAAAATGAATTCATTTTCATTGTGAAATGCAAACAATGCAAAAGTACAAAGAAGAAAGAAAAAAAATCACCTCAGATTTTTTTCAGGTGTAACTGTTACTGACATTTTAATGAATAACTTTTCAGATATCTTTCTGTTTGTGGATACTTACAGCCATCCATGGTTATGGGGGATGGAATCATGCTCTACATTTGGTTCTTTACCCTGCTTTTTTTCACTCTATATTTTGGCTCTAAATACCTCTAGTAAGCACTCTGTGGCAAGTGCCCCTGCTTTTGCTATAAGCTCCTCTGTAGTAAGCACTCCATAGTAAACACCCTACAGTGGGCATCCTTTAGTAAGTACTTACAGTAGCTCTCCATAGTGGGCACTGTACAGAAAGCACCCTGCAGTAAAAACCATTGCCACAGGTTTTAAAAGAGTGTAGGTAGTAGAGCAAGAGAGTTAATCTAAGGAATAAAATAGTAACTCTCCCTTTATACCAGGTGGAGAGAAAGCCATCATGCTCCTAGATGGGGAGGCAATTGGGATTAACCTCCCAACTCCTGAGATTCTGTGGGGATTCTAGAGTTGAAGCCTGGTTCCTGGTGATGTACCTGAGTTAACTGTTCAAGTCTCAGGGTACTGATGTGAACATGATTCTTTGGTACCAGTTGCTGTGCTTATATCCAGATCTGGATTCTCAGGTGGTTCCTCTGGACATGCTGGACAGTTGTCCTAAATTCTAGTGTACTGGAATACTGGGGGGTGGGTCTGTCTGCAATGTCATGGTCTTTTTTGTCCTCTACAGCACTATGAGTAGTTAGGAAGGGATAGATGAGTTACCTGTATATTGATGGGTGTACAGACAGAATCAAGACCAGCCACCAAATTATGTCCATTTGTTTCTCTAGAAACCCTCGATGATGAACCTACTTGTGGGAGACCCTTGGGCATCCGGGCGGGGCCCAATGGGACCCTCTTTGTGGCCGATGCGTATAAGGGACTATTTGAAGTAAATCCCTGGAAACGTATGTGACAATATTTTGTTTCCTTCTGTGATTATATCAGATTTTTAAAACAATATGTGCATAAGTGGATTTAATAGAACTTATTCAATACAGTCTACTGGAAACACTAATATTTTCTTACTCATTGATTAGTACTAAAAGCATTACCTTACAAATATCAGCTAATATAAATACCACATAAATTCCCACTCATGTTCATGTAGTTAGTATACTAATTTCCTCTGGTGTTTGTGTTTTGGCCACAGGTCTCAATAGGACTTATTCTGAGGATGTTAGACCTCTTCCTTCCATCTTTATTTTTCTATGTCTTTCTTTATGTCTTGGCTTTCTGTTTTTCTGCCTTTCTGTCTTTTCTTAACCTTACCCTTTGTCTCTGCCTTCATTTTCTTTCTCCAGCTCCTCCTCTCATTGCTCTCTTCTGACTGGTCAAGATGTCACCTTGACCAGCAGTGTAACATTTGCTGTATGTGCTTTAGCAGGGGAGGGTGCTAGTATGGAGGAGTTTGTTATCATGGGTGGTTCATGGGACCCTGGGTTCAGGCAATACAGACTGACTGCCTGAGTCTGCTGTACCATTGACTGTCTCTGTGACTATGTAAGTTATTTGTCCTCTGTGCTCACTTTCCTCATTTATGGAGAGGGATAATGTAGTTGCCTGCCTTGGGGGATTGTTGTGAGAGTTTAAGTCCTATACATGGAAAGAACTTAGCACTTAATAAATGTTTGTTCTACTCTTTAAAAAACGTACTACCTTTCTTATTTCTTTATTTAAAAGCAAATGAACAGAACATTTTATATTTTTCTCAAATAGTCTTACCTAAGGTAAGGTAAAAAAGTCTTAGGTAAAAGTCTTACCTAAGACTTTTAATAGATTTTTAGTCAGTTAGTCTCAATAAAAAAAAATTCCTAATCCTTAAGAGGAAGGGTTTTGCTTTAATGTATTCCAAAAAAAAAATTCATCAGTTAACAGATGAAAGAAAGAAAAACATTGTTTTTACTATAAGAAGGAATAAGTTCTGACATGGCGTGGAGAAGCTTATTTTAGTTTTTCTTTTTAAGTCAGGCTAATAAATGTTTTGAAATAATTGAGATGCAAGTTCTTAGAATGAAAGCAAGTCTCCTTCTCCCTCCTTTCTTTAATTGTCTTCCTTTCTTTTTCTTCTTTGCTACTTCAGGTGAAGTGACATTGTTGCTGTCCTCTGACACACCCATTGAGGGGCGGAAAATGTCCTTTGTGAACGATCTTACAATAACTCGGGATGGGAGGAAAATTTATTTTACGGATTCCAGCAGCAAGTGGCAAAGACGAGATTATCTGCTTCTGGTTATGGAAGGAACAGATGATGGGCGGTGAGTATGTATTCTATATTTTCTGCTCAGTAAGATCATTAGTCAGGCAAGGTAACTTTAGCAGAGCTATTACTTCTGTAAATCTTGGGAGTATTTCTGAGCATGATATTTCAGCATTTCAGATAGGACCTTAATGGCTTCTGGAAATGGGTGATGTATGCAACAAAACAGAGCAAGATGGTCTTCCTTTCTCTTTGATGAGAAGAAATAAAAATAGCCCAGTGCGTGTGCAGGTGTGGCCTATGCAGTTTGGGAAAGACCTATAAGCAGGCCTAGGTTTTAGGTCATCCCTCTAAAGGAGGACTTCTATGAGGCTGGAGCCATGTGGCCTCCCTGGTGCTAAGCCAGCTCCCAGGTCAATGAGAGACCTGACTGGGGGAGGTCTGGAGGAGGTTGCCTGGGGCTGCTGTGGATGGGGAAGGGCCCTTAGAGACCAACCTTGAACCATATTTGAGCAGGGGACCACCAGGGGCCTTCATTCTAGTATAAGGTTGAGTCCCCTTCCTCAGGTCCCTACCCAGAGCAGAGCAAGACTCCCAACCAGCAGGACAGTCATGTACTCTCCCTGTGTGACTCTTTGCTGTTGGCATCCACAGCCTGCTAGAGTATGATACAGAGACCAAGGAAGTAAAGGTTTTACTGGACCACTTGCGGTTCCCTAATGGAGTGCAGCTTTCTCCTGCAGAGGACTTCATCCTGGTGGCAGAGACAACCATGGCAAGGATAAGAAGGTGTGTGTAGTATTTGTTGGGCTATCACTGATCACCAGAGCTCCTTGTGCCCAGGATGGGCATGGAGGTGTCAATGGACAGAATCTGAGAATCAGCAGGGCACCTTCTCCTTTGTGTAAAAATAAGTGACAAACTTGAGTGCATTTTTCCCTCCCATATCTCAGACTACTTGAGTGTCACAGTCTGCAGACTTTTAATTTAGTTCTGACTGTGCATCCAAGGTTCCTTTCCCTATCAGTGGGTTTTGGCCCACCGGCTTTTCCTGAAACTCTGTCTAGCTGGACCTAGGGTTCATGAGTGCTTCTTTCAGTAGATATACCTTTGTTTATAATGGGCATGTTTATAGTTGTTTCCATAAACTTACTGGAACCAAGACTAACTTGGTACTTGGCTAAAATTTTTTCTTAAATTGGGGGGCTGCTGCTCATACCTACCTGCTTGGGTGAATTTTTCAGATTCTACGTGTCTGGCCTGATGAAGGGCGGGGCCGACCTGTTCGTAGAGAACCTGCCTGGATTTCCAGATAACATCCGGCCCAGCAGTTCCGGAGGGTACTGGGTCTGCATGGCAACCATTCGCCCTACCCCTGGGTTTTCAGTGTTGGATTTCTTATCCGAGAGACCTAGTATTAAAAGAATGATTTTTAAGGTAACTGAAAACTGTAATTTCAAAAACCAAAACTATAATTAGAAGATGCATCCAATTATGATCTCTTTTGATTTATAGCTCTGGAAATTCTAGTTTTGCTTATAATATTTAGTACTTTTAGTGACTAATGCGGACCCCGGCTTGTGGGGTCCGCAACATTGTGGATGAGACATGAGACAAATTCACATGGACTACTGAGTCCTATGGAGGAAAAGGGATGGCATGGCCACTCTCTCAAGAGGATAGCACCTTGACCCTTGCCTTGACAGACTTTTATTGCTTTTCTGGGCACATTACAAGATGGTCCTCATTTACTATGCACAGGTTCGAGTTAGGTGGTTACCTTTTACAGAAAACAAAGGAGAGGATGCTGCTAATTGCTTCAAAGAGAAGGATGTTGCAGACCAAGGGCAAAAGTGGTTGAACCGGTTTCACTCCATACTGGGGAGGTTTAGCACAGACTTTAGGAAGTTATAGTCAGCATTTGCTGCCTCAATTCAGGGTGAGGGAGTTTTAGCAAAAGCAAATCTCAAAGCGGCCTAGGTACAATGCAAACCTGATTCTCCATGGGAGAACCTGTCCGTGGGCGTGGGTCCTGTGCATCAGACCTCGCTTTCCACTGGGAACTGGGCCCACGCCATGCTGAATGGTCTCCTATAGTGACTTCTTTAATACACCTTTTATTTTTCAGCTTGACATGTAAACTTAAACATTTGGACTCTGATTTTTTTCCTTCTGGTTTTCAGGTCTGGGCGTTTTTATCATCACTCTACCATCATGACCTTTTGGGGCCTATATCCTTCTGTCAGCCTTGCTCTTGCTCTGAGATGGCTTTTTTCAGACCTTCTCCCCTGTCCTTCAAACTTTGCAAACTGGCCTTCTCCTTCCTACTAGCAGACAACACTGCTTCTCCTCAAAGGGTTATCAGATGAGTCTTCTTGTGGCCATACATGTAAACCCACTCACCTTTGTACCTCATTCTGCTTTGCTCCCTCCTACCTTCTTGGTCAGTCACTGCCCCCTCTGTAGGATGTTGCACACTAAATTCTTTTCCATTAAAAAAAAGATCATCCACCCTCACCAATAGCCCTTCAACATAGCCTTTAAATGTTCATCATCCTACCCTTTTTTCCAGTGATGTCCATGAAATTCCCCTGTGTAATTTAACATGTTTTACCATGGGGCCAAGTAATTTGCTGATACTAACAGGTGCTTTCTTCAGAAAGCAATCTTATTTTCTGAAAAGCTCCATTGTATAGACTGAATAGTATTTGAAATTGATGTTGAATATTTTAATAGATAATAAAATATTTGTAACTTAAAGTCCTGGAAGGTGCCTGAGCCCATGTGGTGCCAGCACCTGTGTCTAGGCCCTGGAGAGGGGCCTCATACACCTGTTTAGTCAGACTGGCCCATGGCTTTCAGTGTTGTTTGAGTTTAATGGGTCATTGTAGAAAATCATAATCTGTTCAGAAACAACACGTTCCTCCTCTTTGTCTTGTTGGCTTCAGAGCCAGAATCTGTTCCCGTTGGAACCTAGGAGGATGCAGAATGGTAGGGCGGGCAAGACGAGGGGTTTTGAAAAAGACTACATCAACTGTGGGACCATGGGCAGATGTCATGGTCTCTCTGCCTCAATTTCTCCATTATTGAAGTGGGAATTCAATAGGTGATGAAAAAATGTAGTGAGAATATGTACAATGTACACTTTGCTGAGTGTAGTAAGTGTTCAGTTCCTGTACCTGTCAGTTTTTCTACAGCAAGGATGTAATCTCTTAGTGGTGGGTGTTTGTTTCTTTCCCTTTATAGAATGTGCGCTTCTTCCAAGCGGGTATTGATTATGCTATTGCAGTTGTCCCAACTTTTCCCCCTTTTCCCCTTCCACCCAATACTCCCCCACTCCCTCAGGCACTCCTCACTGCATTGTGAATGTCCATGGGTCATTGTATAAGTTCTTTGGCTACTCCATTTTTATACTATACTATACATCCCCATCATTGTTCTGTAACTACCTATTTGTACTTCTTAATTCCCTCACCACTACAACCATTCCCCTACACTCCTCTCCCACCTGGAAACCATCAAAACACTCTCAGTATCCATGAGTCTGTCTCTTGTTTTCTTAGTTTATTTTTTATATCCACCTGTTGATATGTATTTATTGCCATTTTATTGGTCATAGTTTTGATCTTTTTTTAAAATAAGTCCCTTTAACATTTCATATAATAATGGTTTGGTGATGATGAACTCCTTTAGTTTTTTCTTGTCTGGGAAGCTTTTTATCTGCCCTTCAGTTCTAAATGATATCTTTGCTGGGTGGAGCAATCTTGGCTGTAGGTCCCCACTTTTCATGACTTTGAATATTTCTTGCAATCCCTTCTAGCCTGCAAAGTTTGTTTTGAGAATCAGCTGACAGTCTTATGGGAACTCCTCTGTAGGTAACTAATTGCTTTTCTCTTGCTGCTTTTAAGATTATGTCTTTATTTTTAACCTTTGACATTTTAATTATGTCTTGGAGTGGGGCCTTCTTGCATCCACTTGTTTGGGACTCTGCTTCCTGGACTTGCATGTGTATTTCCTTCACCAAATTAGGGAAGTTTTCTTTCATTATTTTTCTCAAATAGATTTCTAGTTTCTTGCTCTTTCTTTCCTCCTTCTAGCACCCCTATGATGCATATGTTGGAACACTTGGAAGTTGTCCCAGCAGCTGTTTACACTATCCTTGTTTTCTTGGATTCTTTGTTCTTCTTGTTCTGGTTGGTTGTTTCTTTCTTCCTTATGTTCCAAATCATTGATTGATCTTAGCTTCATTAGTGAATCCTTCATTTCTGATGGGATCTTTTTTATGGTGTCGAGGTCCTCAGTAAGTTCCTTGAGCATCCTTATAACCAGTGTTTTCAACTCTGCATCTGATAGATTGTTTATTTCCCTTTTGTTTAGTTCTTTTTCTGGAGTTTTGATCTGTTCTTTTGTTTGGGCCATGTTTCTTTGTCTCCTAATTTTGGTGGCCTCCCTGTGTTTGTTTCTATGTATTAGGTAGAGCTGTTATGACTTCCTGTCTTTGCAGCATGGTCTGAAGTAGTAGGTGTCCTGTAGGGTTCAATGGTACAGCATCCCCTGTCACCCAAGCTGGGTCCTTGAGGTGTGCCTTTCGTATGGGCTGATTACACTCTTCTCTTGTAGTTGAGCCTTGATTGCTGTTGGCGGGTCAATGGGAGGGATTTAGACAAGTCAGTCAGCTGCAAGGACTGGCTGTAACCACTGACCACCAACTTCCACCCTTGTGCAGGATCAGCTGTGCAGGTTCAGGGTGGTAGTGCTCCGTTGTGGTCTGTAGTTATCCTTTGGATGTGCAGGCTCTGGGGTTTCCCAGGTGGTGCAGCCCAAGCTGGCTCCCCCGTGTCTTTTGCCCGGGCCCACTCTGTCTGGGCTACAAAGCAATCTGAGATTGCTGCTACTTATGCTGGGCTTGGAGATTTCCAGTTGAAGCTAAGCTGTGAATCTAGGCTGGCTGCTACTAGTGCGAGCCTAGGGCCACTTACTTAGCAAGAGGTATGGGGGTCTGGGGGCTCACTGAGGTCAGCTGTTGCTTGTTTGAGATGATTTAGGAAGTTGTGAAGCATGAATCAAGACCAGCCATTCATATGGAAAAGTCTGTGTTTGTTAACAGCTTGGAGTCTCAGGATCTCTAGAGCAGGGCAAACAGTTATAGCCAGATTGATGGAGTCTCAGATGTAGCACCCGCCTGCTGGCTTTGTGGCTCTGTGGAGGGAGGGTTCAGAAAAGGGACAATGGCCTCTTCCTGCCTTGCTGTCTGGGAGAAAGCTGTCTGCAAACTTTCCCTTGATGCCAGGCACTTCAGTTCTTCCCTGTATGCCACTGGTACCTTTCAAGCTGCTACCCTGGTTCTGGAGCTCAGAGGGAGTGAGTCTTTGTAAGTTCATGTGTGGGTTCTTAATTTAAAAGGAACTACTTGGGACTCCAGAACTTTTCCCCAATGACTCAGTCCCCGCTGATTTTTGCAGCCAGACATTATGGGGACTTACCTTCCTGGCACTGGAACTCTGGTGTGGGTTTCCTGGTTTGGGGCTAGGACTTCTTGCTCCTGAGATATCCCTCCCAATTTTTTATCCAACATATGTGGATTTGGGACCAGCCTGTTGTGTGTCTGTGCCCCTCTTACCAGTCTGAATGGATGTGGTTTCTCTAATTCCATAGTTGTCAGGCTTCCATTCAACCTGATTTCTGATGGTTCTGAGTGATGATTGTTATATAATTTAGTTTTAATTTTGATGTGGTTGTACGAGGAGGCTAGCCATGTTCATCTGTGCTGCTGTCTTGACTGGAGGTCCCAGAGCAGATATTATTTTCTGGTTAGTTCACTCCTTTGTTCTCATTACTGAGAACAGTATGTGGCACACAGTAGGCACTCAGAAGTTATTATTGAAGACATGAGTGATTAGAGAGCTGAGGCCATAAATATGAGACAGAACTAGAGTGGCAGGATGTGTTCCTGGTGAAATGTGATCAAAATCATCAAGGATTTTTTTTGTTTTTAAGTTTTGAGACAATATCAGACTTAGAAAATTAACAAGAAGGGTACAAAAAAACTTTTTCACTAACTGTTTGCCAGTAAGTTGTTGGTCTGATGCCCCATTCTCCTCAGATATTTCCAGGATCACAGGCTTTGTAGGAGGTTAGATTTTATTAAAAATGTAATCAGAGTCATTGAGGGTGGGGTTTTTTTTAAGTTTTGAGACAATATCTGACTTAGAAAAGTAGCAAGAAGGCTACAAAGAATTTTTTCACCAACTATTTACAAGTAAGTTGTTGACCTGATGCCCCATCATCCTCAGATACGTTAGTTTATTTCCTACAACAAGGACATTCTCCCATATGACCACCTGTCCAAACAGGAAACTTACATGGATACCAGTGACTAACACATCCAATTCAGGTTGTTCCAGTTGCTCCAATGATGCCCTTCAATTATTCAGTCCAGGATCAGGCGTGGCATATAGTCTACACATCTCTTTATTCTCCTTCAGTCTGGAACAGTTCTTCAGTTTTAACCTGTTGGTAGACACAGGTCAGTTATGTTTCATGATGCCTCTCCATTTAAGTTGTCAGGTGTTTATCATGCTTAGATTCAGGCTATGCATCTCTGGCAGGGAGACCACAGAAGTGAAGTTGGGTTTTCAGTATGTTTTGTCAGGAGGGAAGTGCTGTAACCTTGTCCCATGCTTGTAGTGGCAACGTTTATCACCTGATTCAATGGCAAATGCCAGGCTTCTCCTGTGAAGTCATTCTTTTTCCATTTGTAATTAATGAGTATTTTGTGGGTAGGTACTTTATAACTGGGTAAATATCAGCACGATCTCATGGTTGCTTATTATACTCAATGGGTTGTATAATCTATTACTATCATTTAATTTTTTTATTTTTTAAAGATTTTATTTATTTATTTTTAGAGAGGGGAAGGGAAGGAGAAAGAGAGGAAGAGAAACATCAGTGTGTGGTTGCCTCTTGTGTGCCCCATACTGGGGTCCTCGCCCACAACCCAGGCATATGCCCTGACTAGGAATCGAACCCACAGCCCTTTGGTTTGCAGTCTGGTGCTCAGTCCACTAAACAACACCAGCTAGGGCTTATTATTTATTTTGATTGCTCAGTTGTCCAGCTTTATCCAGTGAGAGCCCCATCAGTGTGGCTTCTTGACCTTGGACATGTACGTACCATTCTTGGAATCATCCATTTGCCCAAGGATTCCTGGTTCTTTCTAGAAGAAATCTGGGCTAAGGGTACACATTGATTTTTTTGGGTATCACTGCTCCCAGGACCCCTCAGTGGACAACAGAGAATGTATGCATGTGTGTGTATATATATAGATGTGTGTGTATATATATATATATATATATATATATATATATATATAGAAAGAGAGAGAGAGAGAGAGAGAGAGATATGGTGTGTATAAACACATTTACCAGCATTTTCATCTGTTTATTTAAATTGAAAACCATAAGTAATGTTGGTATCTTTATTTCTAGTCTAGTACCACAGGACTTATTCTAGTTTTCTTCCTTTCTATATTTGTGCTTCCTTTCTCTAATAGCAAGAAACCTGGATCTCATTATCCTTCATACCTACTTGATCAATTCCCCAAATATCACCAATCTGTAGCCATTGTCACATGGCCCCTGCTAGGGCTCTAGCACCAACCTTCCTCCTCTCAACTATGAGAGGGGGCCAGGCTTTCTTCTGAAGGACTCTGATATCTGCATGACTGTCTCCCAGATAAACACCCTCTTCATCCTGCCTGTGCTGTGACAGCCTGTGCCAGGCCACCCCACTGTGGGGAAACTGTCTCAGCTTGCTTGAGCTCTGTCACTGTACTCTGTGTTACTGCCCTCTCCCTTCCTTTGGCATGGCCTCTCCCTCACCCTGTTCACACTGACTCCCTGGTCTGCACACATCTTCCCTGCTGGGACACACAAGCTGCTGCTTGACTGAATTGTTTGAGAGAGGAGTAATGTACTACAAATAATGTCTTAAAAAGATAACTGTAGGTGCTATGTGGAGAACAGCCTGTAGTAAGGCTGCACTGGGTTTGGGAGCCTGTGTGGAGGTGGTTGGAATAGCCAGGACAGGGAGTGGGGAAAGTTTAGGGAAAAAGTGGTACATGCACAGCAGATGGCAAGACACCTTGATGCTGGGCTTGTGGGGTTTGAGAGAGGGGTTAAATGTGAGGGCTGACTTTCTGGTGTCAGCAGCTGGTGTCAGGAGCCCCATCTCCTGAGCTGAGGAGTCTATTGAGTTTGAAGAGCTGTTAGAAAGTACAGATGGAGATTGGTCCTGGGTAGTGAGGAATTTAGCACTGGGCATCAGAAAATAGAGGTAGAAGTTTGAGAACTTTCTAGAAAAGTGACTAGTTAAGCTAATGGGAAGGTATAGGATCTCTTTAGGGATAAGATGGAGAGAGTGGAGAGGGGAGGAGTAATGGCTGATGGGAGGTGGTATTTCATGGGTCCTGGGAAGTTTTACGGAATATTTTGAGCTGTAATGCACCTTTGATTGATTGCTATAGAACCTTCTAGAACACAGTCTCCTTGTATGTCTGAACATTTCCAGTGACTAGGAGACATTGTTCATTGGACATATGTGATTGTATAGCTGTTTTTCCTTATCTTAGAAAGTAGTCCTGGCTGGTGTAGCTCAGTGGATTGAGCATGGGCCTGCAAACCAAAGGGTCACTGGTTTGATTCCCAGTCAGGGCACATGCCTGGGTTGTGGGCCAGGTCCCCAGTAGGGGGCACATGAGAGGCAACCACACATTGATGTTTCTTTCCCTCTCTTTCTCCTTCCCCTCTCTCTGAAAATAAATAAGTAAAATCTTTAAAAGAGAAATAAAAAGTAAAAAAAGAAGGTAGACATCTGCCTATTAATTTTCATTTGCTCATCTTATGTAGTGGTGTCCTTTGTCATTTCCTACGGGTATCCTTCTATTCTGCCAGATATTACATGTTACCATCTGTTTTTCTTTGCCTAAGACCTTCAATAGCCCTGTGGGCCTCTTGGCCCAGCTGAGCTAGGGGCTAGGTTTCTAGAAGGTTCCTGCTCAGCATAGAAATGTTTGATCTCAACACTGGCTGCAAGGAGAGCCTAGAACCATTGTTATGTTTCATAGGGCAGGGACATGTTCATTTGACCTGCTGAGGTTCTTTTACATGAACCATCATTTGCATGATGCACAGCCAAAATATCTTAAATACAATCAGAGGGCTTGGCATTTATTCTGGTGAGGCTGTGCTGGTTTTAACCTGGCGTTCTGGGATTGATGTCACTCTAGACCTTGGCCTCATGTTGTGTCTTCCTCGGATGTGATTTGTGCTTCTCTGTGTTCAGCCAGGTCATCCAGAGAGGTACCTACATGGCAAGCTTGGTGGGTATCACATAAGAACTATCAGACAGCCACTGTCATTGTTTGTGCTTGGTTAGCCTTGCCTCATATATGCAAGTGACAGGAGGTACCTTTGCCTGATCTACACAGGGGGCGGGGCTTAACACCTGTTGTAGGACAGGCCCTGTGCTAGGAATAGGGAGCTGGTTTATTCCTAGCTCTGCCCTATGTGGCTTCCCTTTCACTAGAGGAGCTGAGCCCTTTCCAAATAGTTAAGGGCTGTGGGGTCTTTTAAAAATTAAATTCAGCTGAATAAATTTTAAAGAGCTTACTGGCTTTATTCAATGATTTAAGAATCAGACAGGATCCAGTCTCAGAGACAGAAAGGCGCTCCAAGGAGCTGTACGAAATGAAGGACTTTGACAGACAGAAGGAAGCAGGAACAAATATGTCATACTAAGTAAAAATCAGGTTGGTAATTGCAAGAGTACTTCCTTTTAGAGGACAGCAGGGGTCTACCAGATTACCTAACTAGTGCTGGTGGGGGGATTCTGATTGACTGGCTTAAAATTTCATTTGTGGGAGATCCTAAACTATAAGTTTAGTCTTGGTTTGGAGATGTGGAGCTTACTATCAGCTACTTCATTGCGGGCCTGTTGTCTTGTTTTTAAAAGGTTGGATCTACTTACAGCCTCTTAGTCAGAAGATAAACTCTTTTCACACTGTGCTTCCCTTCCAGCTCTTTAGTCAGGAGATGGTGATGAAGTTTCTGCCATGGTATAGCCTCGTCCTAGAACTCAGCGACAGTGGGGCCTTTTGGAGAAGCCTACACGATCCTGACGGACAAGCGGCCATCTACGTCAGCGAAGTGCATGAACATGACGGGCACCTATACCTGGGCTCCTTCAAGGCCCCATTCCTTGGCAGACTCAGCCTTCAGTCTGTCTAGCTGCCCTGATTGCAGCCCTGGTCATGGCTGTGCCAGGAGTCACCACACTGGGCACCACACCTGGTTCAGGATACCATGGCCACAGCCCTTTTCACCTGTAGTACTGCTCCTTGGAAGTGTGGTGTGACCCTGCAGATGTATGGGCCCCTGTAGGACAGCCCTCACCTGGGTTTGACTTCTCATGCAGAGAGAAGCATAACATTTGCCATTGGAAGATAAGTTCATGTAAAGCTATTTTCTCTAAAAATCCTAAGTATAGTAAATTTTCTGGGACTTAGGGGATATCATGTACTTTCAGCAGGCCTTAGGCTTTGGTGGATAGAGCAGTAGATGAGTTGTCTCTGGATCTTGTTTTAGCTACTGGCTCTGTCCTGCCAACCTCAATGTCTTTATTATAAAACAGGGTAATGCTTGTCTTACAGGGGGGAGTACAGGAAGGGCAAGGATTGCTCAGTGCAAAAGTGCATGGAGGCCAATGGGTGGAGCTATGCCAACACTGATGTTAGCTCTGCATTCTCCAGAGTTGTGTGGGACATGGGCCCTTGTTCCCTGGGGTTTCCCTTCCATTGTTCCCACCCTCTGGCCTACTCTGTCTCATAACAGGGTTTTTGTTAAAACTCCTGAGTCCCATCAATCATATAAAGGTAAGGAAGGACCTGAGTAAGTACATAGGAAAAACATGTTGATTTCAACAGCTGTAACAGGACTTGCTGGGTTTTTCTCTGAACAACCTACCACCCAAATTGAATGACCCAGCAGCTGGGTGAATTGAGGGGAGTCCTGTTTACACACCTTGTTCCTCACCTCTAGACCCACAGATGTGAATAGTCCATGTGTTAATGTCATATTGACTTGACTGTCACAAGCCTGAAAGTTGCTGTATGTCTACACTCTAGCCGTAATTTTGTTAGGGAGACCCATGAAATGATGATAATTAAACTTTTATGTGGATTAGTCTTTTTTGATGGTATTGCCAAGGAGTTTCTTCTCTACTTCAAATATAATTATTTTAACAGTGACAGAAATTTGATTCCGTCCATTGTTGATATGGGTATTGTTTTGGCTAGGACCTTGTTTTAGGGACAGGCAGTTCATCTGATTTGCTCAGGACCTATCATGAGGTAGCAGCCAGCCTCAGGCCATTTCCTCCATGCTGCCTCCCAGCATAAATTCATTCTTGAACAAGTTGATATTGTACTTCTCTCTTATTTTCTAACCTACAAAATAGGTCTATTATCTATTCCTATTCTGTCCTAAAGAACAGGTTGTGCCTCTAGGATAGTTATATTTTTTTAAGATTCATTTTTAAAGATTTTATTTATTTATTTTTAGATAGAGGGGAAGGGAGGGAGAAAGGGAAAGAAACGTGAGAGATGTGAGAGAAAAACCTCACAGAAACATGGATGTGAGAGAAAAACCTCATTCAGTTATATCTTGTATGTGCCTGGACCGGGAGCCAATCCACAACCTAGGCATGTGCCCTTGACTGGGAATCGAACCAGCAGCCTTTTGCTTTATAGAATGATGCCCAATCCATTGACCCATACCAGTCAGGGCCCACTGGGATAGTTTATAAGGAATTTGACAAAGATAATATTTTACTTTATTTTTTTAACTTTATTGTTCAAGTACAGCTATCTACATTTTCCCCCCACTATTCTCCACCCCCCACAGCCATCCCAGCCACCCTCCCCTGACCCCACACCCCCTTGGTTTTGTCCATGTGTCCTTTTATATATTTTTTTAGGTTTTAAAATTATATTTATTTAAACCTGTTAATCAAATAGAGCACTAAAATATAAATAGTAGTGAGTGTTTCTGTCCATGCACAAAAGCCCATTGGGCATTACAGTCTTTTATTTTTTAAATTATTTTATTGTAGTACAGTTGTCTACATTTACTTCCTTCCTACCACTACCATTCCTCCCCACCCCAGCCATCCCCACCTCCCTCCCTTGCTTTCACCCCACCTTGGTTTTGTCCATGTGTCCTTTATAGTTGTTACTGAAAACCCTTCTCCCTTTTTCCCCCATTACCCTCTCCCACCTACCCTCTGGTTACTGTCACTTTGTTCTTCATTTCAATGTCTTTGGTTATATTTTGTTTGCTTGTTTGTTTTCTTGATTAGGTTCCACTTAAGGATGAGATCATATGGTATTTGTCTTTTATTTCACTGAGCATAATGCTCTCCAGTTCTACCCATTCTGTCACAAAGGGTAGGAGCTCCTTCCTTATCACTGCTGTATAGTATTCCATTGTGTAAATGTACCATAGTTTTTTGATCCATTCATTTACTGATGGGCACTTAGGTTGTTTCCAGCACTTGGCTGTTGTAAATCCTGCTGCTGTGAACATTGGAGTGCATAGGTTCTTTTGGATTGGTGGTTCAGGGTTCTTAGGGTGTAATCCCAGCAGTGGAATTGCCAGTTCAAAAGGCAGTTTGATTTTTAGTTTTGTGAGGAAATTCCATACTGTTTTCCACAGTGGCTGCACCAGTCTGCACTCCCACTAAGAGTGCACTAGGGTTCTCTTTTCTCCACATCCTCTCCAGCACTTGTTTGTTGATTTGTTTATGATGGCCGTTCTCACCTGTGTCAAGTGGTATCACAGTGTGGTTTTAATTTGCATCTCTCTGATGGCTAATGATGCTGAGTATCTTTTCATGTCTCTGGGCCCTCTGTATCTCCTCCTTGGAGAAGTATCTCTTTAAGTCCTTTGCCCATTTTTTAATTGGGTTGTTTGTGTTCCTGGAGTAGAGTCTTGTGAGTTCTTTTTATATTTTGGAAATCAAACCCTTGTCTGAGGTATCATTGGCCAATATATTTTCCCACACGGTTGGTTTTCTTTTCATTTTAATGCTCTTTTCTTTAGCCGTGCAGAAGCTTTTTAATTTGATGAGGTCTCATTTGTTTATTCTTTTCTTCATGTCCTTTGCTCTAGGGGACATTTTGGTGAAAATATTGCATGAAATGTCTGAGATTTTTTCTGCCTATGTTCTCCTCTAGGACTTTTATTGTGTCATGACTTATATTTCAGTCTTTTATACACCTTGAATTTATATTTGTGTATGGTGTAAGTTGGTGATCCAGTTTCATTGTTTTTCATGTAGCTATCCAGATCTCCCAATGTCTGAAGAGGCTGTTTTTACTCCATTTTATGCTTCTTTACCCCTTGGTCAAATATTACTTGACCATAGAGACTTGGGTTTATTTCTGGGTTCTCAGTTCTGTGCCATTTCTCTATGTGTCTGTTCTTTCCGCAGTACCAGGCTGTTTTGATTACAGTGGCCTTGTGATACAGTTTGATATCATGTATTGTGATCCCTCCTACTTTGTTCTTCTTTTTCAAAATTGCTGCAGCTATTCAGGGTCATTTATGGTTCCATATAAATTTTTGAAGTGTTTGTTCTATATCCGTAAAATATGTCAATGGTACTTTAATACGGATTGTGTTGAATCGATAAATTGCTTTGGGTAGATGGACATTTTAATGATGTTAATTCTTCTAATCCATGAACATGTTTCCATTTGTTTGCATCTTCCTTGATTTCTTTCTTCAGTATTGTATAGTTTTCTGAATACAAGTCTTTTACCTCCTTGGTTAAGTTTATTCCTAGGTATTTTATTTTTCTTGTTGCTATATCAAATGTGATTCTTTTCCTGATTTCTGTTTCTGATATTTCATTGTTGGTGTACAAAAATGCCTTTGATTTCTGGATATTGATTTTGTATCCCACTGGTTTGCCAAATTCAGTTATTTGAATAGTTTTTTTCGTGCAGTCTATATGATATTCTGTGTTCACTATCATGTTATCTGCAAACAATGACAGTTTTCCTCCTTTCTAATTTAGTTGCCTCTTATTTCTGTTTCTTGTCTGATTGCTGTGGCTAAGACTTCGAATTCTGTGTTGGATAGGAGTGGTGAAAGTGGTCATCCTTTTCTTGTTCCTGATCTTAGTGGTAAAGCTTTTAGTTTTTGCCCATTGAGTATAATGTTGGCTGTAGGTCTCTCGTATATGGCATTTATTATGTTGAGGAATGCTCCCTCTATTCCCACTTTGCTGAGTGTTTTTATCATAAATAGGCGCTGTACCTTATCAAATGCTTTTCCTACATCTATTGATAAGATCATGTGATTTTTCTTTCTTTTGTTTATATGATGTATTTCACTTATTGATTTGCAAATATTGTACCATCCTTGCATCCCTGGGATGAATCCCACTTGGTCATGGTGTATGATCTTTTTAATATATTGATGCATGTAGTTTGCCAGTATTTTGTTGAGGATTTTAGTGTCTGTGTTCATCAGCAATATTGGCCTGAGGTTTTCTTTGTTGTGTCTTTATCTGCTTTTGGGATTAGGATGATGCTGTCTTCATAAAAAGAGTTTGGGAATCTTCCATCATTTTGGATTTTTTTGGAATAGTCTGTGAAGGATAGGGCTTAGCTCTTCCTTTAATGCTTTGTAGAATTCTCCTGTGAATCCATCTGCTCTAGGGCTTTTGTGTGTTGGGAGGTTTTTGATTACTGCTTCAGTTTCATCAGCTGTTAATTGATCTGTTCCGTCTTTCTGCTTCTTTTTCATTGAGTTTTGGAAAATTACATTTTTCTAGAAATTTTTCCATTTCATCTAGGTTTTCAAATTTCTTAGCATACAGTTTTTCGTAGTAATTCTTACAGTCCTTTGTATTTCTGTGGTGTCAGTTGTAATCTCTCTTCTTTCATTTCCAATTGTATTTATTTGGGTCTTATCTCTTTTTTTCTTGATGAGTCTGCTTAAAGGTTTGTCAATTTTGTTTATCTTTTCAAAGAAGCAGTTCCTTGATTTATTGATCCTTATAATTGTGGTTTTATTCTCTATGTTGTTTAATTCTGCTCTGACCTTGGTTATTTCCTTCCTTCTTCTTGTTCTGGGCTGTCTTTGTTGTTGTTCCTCTAGTTCTTGTAGGTGTAGGTTTAGGTTGTTTATTTGAAATGTTTCTATCTTTTCTAGGTAGGCCTGTATTGCTATGAACTTCCCTCTCAGGACTGCATTAACTATGTGCCATAAGTTTTGGATTGTTGTGAGTTCATTTTCGTTTGTTTCCAGAAACTTCTTGTTTTCTTCCTTTATCTCATTCTTAACCCATACACTGTTTAATTTCATGCTATTCAATCTCTATTAATTGAGTGTTTTTGACTTTTTTCCTTGGGGTTGGTGTCTAGTTTCAGGCTCTTGTGATCTGAGAAGATGCTTGATATGATTTCAGTTTTCTTGAATTTGTTGAGGCTTGTTTTGTTTCCTATTATGTGGTCTGTCTTTGAAAATGTTCCATGTGCATTTGAAGAGAATGTGTACATTGCTTCTTTGGGATTAAGGGCTCTATGTATGTCAGTTAAGTCTATTTGATTAGGACATTGTTCAATGTTGTAATATCTTTGTTGATATTTTGTTTGGAAGATCTATCTATTTTTGACGGGGGGTGGGTGTTAAAATCCCCTAGTATAATGGTGTGGCTGTCAATATCTTTCTTGAAGTCCTCCAAGTTTTTCCATGTATATTTGGATGCTCTTTTGTTGGGTGCATATATATTCACAATGTTTATGTCTTCTTGTTGGATTCTTTAAGTACAATTTTTTAAATAGGTAATGATTCTAAAATTCAGAGAGTATTGAGAGCCGTGGCAAAATATGAACCTTTGTGTCTTATTGCAATGTGTTTCCTTCAGCCCCTGCTTTTTTTTCAGCTGCAGCCCCTGCCCCTGAACCCCATGTGCTGGTCAGCCTCATTTTGGGAAAAGGTAGCTTGGAATGTAGTTGTGAGCTCATCTTGTGTCGCCCTTGTCAGGCTGGCTTTATGTACAGCAATAGTGGAATAGTCTAGGTGATGCAACATGTATTGTCTCAGAAGAATCACCTCATATTATTTATATAACTTTATAGGAAAGGAAATAAAGTAGTGATTATTAAATATTTTAATAGGTAATGTCCCCCATATGTTACACATACAGGAATACTAGGTTAAAACTCCATCATTCTGCCATAAAAATCAATTTAAATGTGCTGGTCTTAAATAAGTCAACTCCTTGCCCGAGAAGGTAGGGCTTTGCTTTTAGTGCCTAATTTTTATCATTACAAAGAAGCTGATAAATAAATTTTATCAGTTTTCAGCAGAGGAGTCTTTATTTGACTCAGATGTTCATTTTCTGTCCCAAGTGTCATTTCCTGCATTTTATTTGTTAGTTTGCCATGGTCACGTGTAAAATACAGCCTTATTAGGTTTAAATATATGGTAGGCTTTTATTGTAAACATAAAATAGATTTGCTCTAATGTGAATTACTAACATGGTTTTAAAATTAACTCAAGTTGTTCGTTCACTCTGGGCTACTTTATTATCTGTTATAAAAACTCCATGAAGATTCAGTTATTGCTTGCCCTGGCTGGTGTGGGTTAGTGGACTGAGCGCTGGACTGTGAACCAAAGGGTCACTGGCTTGATTTCCAGTCAGAGTACATGTCTGAATTACAGGCCAGACCCCCAGTATGGGGCTCTCAAGAGGCAACCACACATTGATGTTTCTCTCCCTCTCTTTCTTCCTCCCTTTCCTTCTCTAAAAATAAATAAATAAAATCTTTAGGAAAAAAATGATTCAGTTATTGCTTTTTATGGGACAGAGGTCCCATTTTGATGTTTTTATCATCAGTATACACTTGCAGAATGGTCTACAGTTTTGAAAGTGTTTTCATGTACTCTGACCTTTTAATGATACAAGGAGATAGAGAATGAGGTAGGATGGTGTTGTAGGATGCCCAACTCTGGTGTGCCCTGGGCATCATTGTGGTTTAAAGTTTCATAGGTGGTCTCCATGGGTAGTGGTGAGGCATTCTTCACAGTCTGGGCCCATCTACAACCTCAAGAGGGCCTACGCTGTGTGAATGTCTCAGCAAAGAGAGTAGAGAGTCTGTATGCAGTCAGTAAGGAGGTGTGTAGGCTCAAAACTTCAAACACTTAGAACAGGACTGTCTGTTAGAATTTTGATGGTTTTGGTGGTTTGTTCAAGTTTGAGAAAGTGTTCCTTCTTTTTGGTCGCAGTTCTGTTCTTAGAATCATGGGTACTTTACATTTTCTCCATGGCAATAACATTAGATGATGACATGGCTTTTCCTCTGAGTCAGAGTAAAGCTGATGAATTCTGAAAAAAACAGGTAGAATTTGGTTGGCAGTGAGGGACTTGAGGTCATCACTCATTGACACCCAGCACTTGCAGTAAGGTGTTCTGCCTCCATTTGGGTGTTTGGTTTCATTTGTTTGAACCCACTGCAGAGCTCTGGCAGTTCCTTCTCAGGTGGGGCTTTGGTGTGCTGAGTCTAGAGAGAACAATTTCTTATAGCAGTCAGAGTTATGACGATGAAAAAAGTGAATGGAGCTGACACAGTCACTACACATGTTGTGTGCAGGGTCTGCTCTCCCAAAAGTTGGAGCAAAATGTCTACAGGTTTGGTTGGTGTACACGTCTCTGTAGGGGGTCAAAAGTATGCCAGCTGCTGGCTTCCATATTTCAAGGTAGCTTCACACTGGCTCACCACCCAGCCCCTTTCCTTCTGGTGTTACAATGGGAGGTTTAAGAGTTGTTGGAAGATAAGCATTTGCTTTTGTGAGGTACATATACTACATAAAACAGATTGGGATTGGGGATGATAGAACTATGGAAGCATTATAAAATAGAGCCTTTTCTACCTGGAATTCAGGCCCTGAGGCCCTCATGGAGGGAAGGTTTGCAGAAGCCTGAGGTTGGGGGGCAAACATTCAGCTAGCTTCTGTTGTGGCTGATTTGCCATAGTTCTAAGACTTCTCTTTGTTAACTGTATAGGAGGCAGTAAATACCTGGCCCCAAGTGATGTTTTTAAAATTGTGGGTATAGCTTAGAGTTCAAACCTGAGAGTTTTGAGATTGTGATTTGAAGTTTCCTCCTCGCTTCTCTGAGGGAAGGCTAGACACAGCCTCCTGGCTAGACAGAGGACATGTGGAACTGAGTGGGAGGGGGTTCATATGCAGCTCCAAGCAGGTGTTCTATGAGGCTGTTCTCTCCCGTAGCTGGTGTGTGGGGGATACCATCCCTCGATGTCCCCTGGAGTCTCAGATGGAATGAGACTACCAAAACATCATCTGCTTGGGGAGAAAAGGCTGGCTAATCTCTCAGTGGAGAAGAGCCCCAATGTCTCTTCTCTTGAGGCTTTTATTGGGATTGGTATGTGCAGGGGTATACAGTATGCATGCAAAACTCATCAATCAATGCCCAAAGGCTATAGTTAATAGAAAACAGATATTATCTTATTAACAGATATTATCTAATATTAACAGATATTATAGATAACAATTGAGGAAACACAGAGATCTTCCTCAGGTCAGAGTCCACTAGACAGAAAGACGCCAGATAACCACAAAGTTGGGAGGACAAGACCATCCTGTGCTTTGAACCCAAACATCTGGTATACATTAACCCAAAGACATTCTTAGCAGGACAAACTTCAAAGGAAATAATGCATTCTTTAGGCCTGATTACCTACAGGGACTTCCTGTGCCTGTAACGGGTCTTGTCTGCTTCCTGCGTTTCCTGGCTTTCCAGGGAGACTTACTGGCCCCTTTCAGGGCCTGTTCTTCACCGGGGCTACTGTCCCCAATACCAGGCCAGGTGGTTCCCCACAGCTGTGCATTTCCATTTCTGATACTGCATGTAAAGCCAGTGGAGGTGGAGGCTTTCTGGAGGTCTAAGTAATTTTTAGGATAGACCTGGCCTTGATGAACTCTGACCCGTATTTAAATGTAAATGAAGACTGACTGGGAGCTCAGAATCTGGGATCCTCTCCTTCATTTTCTGCTGTACTTTGCATAAATCACGAAAGACCCCTTGAGCTGTGTCCTGAAGCCTGTCTTGCTTACACTTCTGGTATTGGTGTTCCTGCTGTCTTATTAATGTATGTTGTCAACAGCTCAGAGTGAACCCATTAATCTTTACAAAAGGATTGCCTTCAGGGGCCTTCAGAATTGTAAGATAAATTAAATGTCTTGTGGCATAGTTGCCACCACTGCCCCTGAATTAAATGATCAGAAGGAGGTAAGTGAAGGCAGCAAAAAAATGTGGGGATTTGGAGTTATAGTTTTATTGTCATCACTGAAGGAAGCTGAAGGTCATTCATTTTAGTTATTGACATTGATCAAGTTTATGACTGTGCTAAATTGCCATACATATTTAATGCAAATTTTCTCTTTCCTGTGAATTATCAGGTTCATATTTTTTAAAGTCAAACAATATATTTTATACTAATCCATAGTTGGAAGAGGAGGATTTCCAAAATGAAGGGCCCCTGCATTTGCATCAAGCTTACTGGTGTAACCCCTGGCTTCTGCTCTGTGGTCTAGCCTTAACATTGCTTCCAGTGCAAGCACAAGGCCTGTCTTTTACAAAGACCTTGGATGGTCTCCTTCCCCTGTGCCCCCAGTGCAGTATGTCCACTCTTGACCTTGTCTTCCCTCTCCTGGTTAGGTATGTATGAGGTATACTCCTCTTGGGTGGGGCTGTATGTGGAGTATGGTGCTCCTACTCCTTGGTGGGTCTCTGTGGGATGTTATCTCAGTGCTTTATCCTACCTCACTTGTTCTAGTACAGCTGTGCATAGGCTGAGCCTCAAAGGCAGCAGAGAGAATTGAATGGATGCCCCCAGTCAGAAGAAAGCACAGCTGGAGGGTGAAAGTTCTCTGTGGGTTGCCACCTATCTTGCTAGTTCATGATATGGACACAGGCTGGCCTGTATCTGACTGCTTTGGTCTCTAGTACGTTGTAGCCATTAGCTGATGACCAGAAAAGCCATCAGCTAGTGGCTGAGGTGCTTTATGTAGTTAATTTGCTCAGAGTACTGAGGGGGACTCCTCATCGCTTACCTCCTGAGTCTCCCTTTAACAGATAAAACAACAGCCATTGCTTTGAGAAGGTTAGTTCTTTATTCATATTTATCTGTAACTTTCATCATCCTTGAAAGGTCAAGATGCTCCATAGCACACTTAGTCCTTTTGTTCAGTGCTGTAACTGTTCAAACGAAAGGACAGATCTCTGGGCTTTCATCCGAGACCTGGGACCATGGAATAATCAGGGCCACTGGTAATTGGGTGGGAGGGGATCCTTCAGGGATTGAGAACCCAAAACATTCCCATTGGAGGACTCAGTCTAGAAGAGAATGTCAAGTATTTAATTTAACTGTAGGACAGTCATTCTACCATCCCAGCTGTAATGAACCCATAGGCACTTCCATTCTGCTTGCCGGAAGATACTATTTCAAGAGTGACAGCAGCTGTAGTATTGCGGAGAGGCGGAAGTCAGTGACAATGGAGAATGGGTACTTTGAACTTCTGGAGCCAGGGGATGACCCAGACTTCAGAGTAGCAACAGAGAGTCTGGAATAAAGAAGGACACCCTAAAAATTGTGCTACCTGTCACAAAAGCCTCCCTCCCTAGAGAGGCTGCCCACTCCACAGAGTTTCCTATGCTGCTGCCTGTGGGCTTTGTCTGTGTTCTGTGCACATGTGTGTGCATGCATGTGAGCATTTTCCTTATTGAGTTTTATCCTTGCCCTGAGATTTTATTTAAAAAAATTTCAAGACTTCCGGCTAAGATAGAAGCGTAGGTAGATACACTGTGCCTCCTCACATTACCAAAAGAAGGACAACAACAAATTTAAAGACAAAAAACAAGAACTTACAGAGAGTTGAACTGTATGGAAGTCTGACAACCAAGAAGTGAAAGAAGAAACATTGATCCAGACCAGTAGGAGAGGCAGAGATGGGCAGCAGTGACAGAGAGGACTGGAGGCAAGGCAGCAGTTGGAAGACCGGGGTGGTTGGTCCCATATTTGCATATGGATAAACCGGGAGGAGCAACTGGAGAGTGAGACAGACCACACAACCCAGGGCTCCAGTGTGGAGAAATGAAACCTCAAAACATCTGACTAAAAAAACCTGTGGGGCTTGAGGTGGCAGGAGAAATTCCTAGCCTCACAGGAAAGTTCACTGGAGAGACCCACAGGGTCCTGGAACGTACACAAAACCACTCACCTGAGAATCAGTACCAGAAGGGCCCAATATGCTTGTGGCTAGTGGAGGCAGTGACTGAAATGTGGCACAGAGCTGAACAAGTGGCATTGTTCCCTCTTGGATCCCTCCCCCACACACAGTGCTACAACACAGTGACCTGGGTTGCCCCGCCCTGAGGAATACCTAAGGCTCCACCCATTACTACATAACAGGCATGCCCAGACCAAATAAAAGCCCAAATAAAAGAACAGATCAAAGCTCCAGAAAAAATACAACTAAGCGATGAAGAGATAGCCAACCTATCCAGATGCAGAGTTCAAAGCACTGGTAATCAGGATATTCACAGAATTGGCCGAGTAAGTCCAAAATAGAGTAAAAAGTAAAGACTGAAAAGTGAAATAAAGGAAAACATACGGTGAACCAATGGTGACAGGAAGGAAACTGGGACTCAAATCAATGATTTGGACCAGAAGGAAGAAATAAACATTCAACCACAACAGAATGAAGAAACAAGAATTCAAAAAAGAGAGACTTAGGAACCTCTGGGACAACTTTAAATGTTCCAACATCCAAATCATAAGGGTGCCAGAAGGAGAAGAGGAAGAACAAGAAACTGAAAACTTATTTGAAAAAATAATGAAGGAGAACTTCCCCAATCTGGCAAAGGAAATAGACTTCCAGGAAGCTCAGAGAGTCTGAAAGAAGTTGGACCCAAGGAGGAAAACAAGCCACATCATAATTACATTACCCAAGATTAAAGATAAGAAGAGAATCTTAAAAGCAAGAGAAAATGAGGGAGTTACTTAAAAAGAAGTTCTCATTAGACTGTCAGCTGATTTCTCAAAAGAAACCTTGAAGTTAAGAGAAGGGGCTGGAAAGAAGTATTCAAAGTTACGAAAGGCAAGGACCTACATCCAAGATTACTCTATCCAGTAAAGCTATCATTTAGAATGGAAGGGCAGATAAAGTGCTTCTCAGATAAGGTCAAGTTAAAGGAGTTATCATCACTGAGTCCTTATTATATGAAATGTTAAAGGGAGTTATCTAAAAAGAAGATCAACAATATGAACAGTAACATGACAATGAATTCACAACTATCAACAACCAGACCTAAAAAAAACCCCACAAAAATGAACTAGGCAAACAACTATGACAGGAACAGAATCACAGAAATGGAGATCACATGGAGGGGTATCAGCAGGGAAAGGGAGGGAGTAATGGGGGAAAGTTACAGGGAATAAGAACCATAAATGGCAGGTATAAAATACACGGGGAGGCTAATAGTATCAGGAATGTAGAAGCCAAAGAACTTATATGTAGAAGCCATGGACAAGAACTAAGGTGTGGGGGAATGCCTGTGGGAGGGGGTGTGCAGGGCGGAGGGGACTAAAGGGAAGGAAATGGGACAACTGTAATAGCATAAGCAATAAAATATATTTTATAAAGTTTTAAATGTATAGAAAAATGGAAATAGTTCAAGGACTTATACTTTTTGCCTATATTTATGAATTGCTAAATTTTGCTACATTTGCTTTCTCCTGTGTGTATATACATTGCCCCTGAATGTAGATGTGTCTCTCAGGGTGTGGGGGAGGAGTGCCCCCTCCATGTCTGTTGGGTTCTGTCAGATGCTGGGAAAACTGAGTTTAGCTATGATATCTGGAACCGTGGGGCCAGAGATGGGATGAAGGACTTTTTCCCAAAGCCCTGGAGAGTAGGTGGGGCTAGGGAAACAGGGGTCTGAGGAGGTGAGATCCCTTTGTTTTACCAGCTTTAAGGTGTGGTTGGTTTGGAAGTCACAGTTGTCCAGACTGGGCTGCTTGGTCTTCTTGCAAGTAGTTCTGCCGATTTCCATATCCAGCATGTATTTCAGGCCTTTCACTATCTAAAGAGAGCAGAGGGCAGGGCCTGGTTCAGCTCAGCAGGGATGGCACCTCCTCCCCCAGGAGATGGCTTGAAGATAAGTGGTGAAGATGCCCTGATGGGACTTGTCCATGTCCTGGAAAGGTGGTGAGTGGTGGAGAGGGAATGTGGAACTTATAGTTCCACTGCAGTCCTGCAGTGGGAAGAAAGTCTGCAACTGGATCCCAGACCCCTCCCTCTTCTCTCCTTATTCACTCATTTTCTCATTCCTGCTCAGGAACTTAGCTCTTGGTCCTGGGGACAAAACGCATACCCTGTGTCCTGTCTTGGGACATCTTTCTGCCCAGCACTTTCCATCAGGCATTATGAGGGTGACAGACTAGGGTTGCCCTGGGGCTCCCCTGGCCCCAGGGCAAAGATAAAGTCCTGACCTGCCACCCCATACCCCGCTCATGCCCTAGCCACTGTTGCCTGCCCTCTGTGGCCTTTATGTGGCATGAGTGCAAGCAAGGGTATCTGCTGGCTCCCCTGATCATTCTTGGGCTTTTTATTTTTCAGTTTCAAAATAACCCATCTCCACTTCTATGTGGCAACAACTTGGTTCGTTTCCCTCATTTGTGATCTCGGAGTTGGGAAAAAGAAAGTCCGCAATTTTCAGTCTCAGCCCTACCAAGTACCAAGTGAAATAAAGTCCCCAACGTCACTGAGGGATAATGCACCCCTCCCTCCAAAGGCACTTAGCATAGGGCATATCATAATTGTGTTCTTGCTGGAGGCCACAGCCTCACCCTGGGGCTAGGTCCTTGGAGTGATGACACTTGAGCTGTTCCCCAGGAGAACCTTATAAAAGTCATCCCCGTACCATACTGCTTTCCACATGACACATTTCTAATCATAAAAATACACTGCTCTCAAAAGGTTTGCAAAAGCCAAAAAAAGAACATCATAAAAATCATGTATAATTCTATGACCCGAAGGTAACCAACCATTAATAGTGTGTAAACTGTCAGCATCTTTCCTCCTTCCCTCAACACCATACCTCCATGGAAGTGTAGATTTCATCCAAAGCCAGTTTCCCACATCTGGGAACTTCTTTTTGAATGGTTGTACAGTATCCCTGGTTTTAGCAGGGGCAGAGACTATGAGGCAGCCACCTCCTAATTGTGTCTTGTCATGGTTATGCATCCCGTATCCCAGACTGACCCTGTGTTCTCAGGACACAGATGAGCAAGACCTGGCTTTGCCCTGTAGGGTCACTTCTAAGGGCAAGTGCTGAGCCATCTTTGTGACAAGTTCACAGGGTATGACATTGAGGCAAGACAGGAGGAGGAGGGGTTTGCATGTGGGAAGGGGGTGCATCTTGGGCAAAGCTCCGATGTGAAAGAACTGGTCCCAGGAAGAGAATTTCAAAAGGTCCTTTGGGGCTGTGGTTCTGGTAAGGGGGTGAGGCAAGGGTGGGGCCCTAGGCAGGGGCAGCTTTGGCAGGCTCTGCAATAGGCCCCTCCAAGGGATCAGCATCTTCATCAGTTTGGTTCCTGTTGCCTAGCTTCTGGTTTCTGCCCACCCCCAGCCTTCAGCATACCCACCTCTGGTCCCAGTTCTACCTCTGCCCTCTGTGCTACTCCTGGCAGCTCTACCCAGAAGTTGGTTTCAGTAAGAGATGGCTCCAGGATCTTTTGCCAAACTCCGATAACAGTGGTTTGGCCTGCTTGTGGACTAACTGTGGCTGCTGCTGTCAGTCTTCTGGCCTGGTCTGTGTTCTTGATGGCCAGGGCACTAGACAGGTAGACCCCTGGTAGGATAGGAGACTCTGAAGCCTGGCCTTCTGGCCCTGAGATGCTGGGCACCAGAACCTAGACCCTCACCTGGACCAGAGCTCTGATGACATGAGACTCCTTGAACAAGAAGATATCATTTGTGCAGTTGTTGAACCTTTCAACACTGTGTCTGGCTGCTTTGAGGACTCCTGGGTCATTGGTCTTGATTGTTTTGGGAAATCCTGGCTTCAGATCTGAGTTAAAGGTCTGAGAACAAAAATCTGAAAGAAATAGAACCAGACAAAAAACATTGCTGTTAGTGGAGCTCTAGATTCCAGTGTCAAGCCTCATACCTTGGTGCTTAGTGCTCTTCTCTGCTCCCTTCTCAGGACCTTAGCCTGTCTAGCTTCTCGCTCATCTGCCCTCCTCTCACCAGTCCATCCTCCCCTCATCCATCTACCTTCCATTCTCCTGTCCACCCTCTAGCCCATCGAACCTTCACCCCACAGTGCAATTCTTTTGCATCCTCTGGTTGCCTGTACTGAAAGCTGTGGACCAGGCAAGGTGGGTGGTACAATAATGGATAAGATACAGTTCCTGTCCCCACACCCTCCTTCAGAGCCCAGGGGATTTCCAATGTGTGTTAAAGAAAACCTGAACATATCTAAAGGTGGCAGAGCCTCTGGACATGATGCAGCCTCAGGGTTAGGAGCAGTTGTTCCAGTTGGTTTTCAAGGACATCTGGCCCTGATCCCTCAGCTGGTCCCCAACAAGTGGATCATGAGAAAGTGTCCAAAGCCTGGTCCTGCTTTCTCACTTGTAAGGAGGCTGCTGCTATCCTCTGCCTCAGGGATGCTTGTTAGAACCTACACAGCTTCCAGGCCACACTCCCAGGGGCCCCCATTCCCCAGGCAGGTCCAGAGAATCTGGTATTCTTCACATCATGCTGCTTTCATGCTGCTTGCTTCTGCACTGTTTTGGGTACAGATCTGAGGACAGGGCCGGGCTTATGCCACACAACTCCTCTATGGAATTGCCATGTGGTAGCAGGAGGCCTGGATTTCTTCCACCCTTCCATGTTCTTCCTGTCCTGAGGAGGCCCATATTTGGATAAAAGATAGGAGAAGCAACATGAGAGTCTTCCCCTACCATCACCATACTTCTGCCTCTAACAATTAGGCAGAACTAAGGACCTGGTCCCCCTTCTCTGCTCTTCACATCCCCCTCTCCCAGTTCCCACAGCAGCAGAGCCCAAGTGGACCAAAAGCCCCTTGCTAAAGGAGAATCTGACTCCACTCTTTTGTTCAGGTCCCCGTGGGCTGAGCCCTGCTCATCCTGAAGGTTTGGGGGGCACACAAGCTTGTGTTTGCTGAAGCTCATGTTCCACAAATAAACAGGCAGAAATTGTGCAGGGGTTTGTCTGCAGGGATTCAGGGTCTGGCTGCATCATCTACACAGATCCGAATGGAGGGCCTAAGGGCCAGCTGTGGGCAATGGGCAGAGGTGTCTCAGGGCTCAGGGGACCAAGTGGCTGAAGTGAGGAGGGCACAGGGAGAAATGCTGAGAGGCAAGGCTGGCTTGATGTAATTGTGCTAACTTAGGTTTTGAACATTGGATTTTATTATGAAAATAGTGTAAAACACCCACAGGCTGCATGAATTGCAATAAGTAAAAATGGCTTTTCTGTTTGGTGGGCTCATGGGTGAATTTGTCAGTTTACTACAAGGGTCATGTACTACTTGTGTATCAAAATAACAAAAACTTAAAAATATGGGGGGGAAATCTAAATAAATTGGGGGATCGGGAGAGTATGAAGAGGGTTTTTAGGTCTGTGAACTGCTTCTCTTTACTAAGACTTTCCCCCAGATTTTCCTGAGATGTTAGCATGCCACACATGACCCAGAGCTGAGATGTCCCACAAGGCTGGCACTAACCCAGTCAACATTTTTATTCCATTAACGGAATGAAATGAAATGAAATATAAGGCTCAGCTTTTTGGTGGCACAGCTGATGTCAGATGCTCTGTACAGTAGCCACAGGTGGCAGTGACTGCCATCTGGGCTGGTGCAGGCAGGGACTATGTCCTTGCTGAGGTATTACGTTTAGCATGCAGCAGAGGTGTCCAAGCAACAGGAAGTGGAGATGTGTGAGGGCAGCAGCAGTGCTAACCAGACAAGCTTCCAGCTTAGAGATTCCTGCTGCCCTGTGCTCCCCTCTCTCTCCACACAGACATGTCTTGCTGAGATTGGAGACACCCAGTTGTATTTGGGTTATAGACATATTCTGTCTGAGAAGATAATGGTGGCAAGGGATGTGGGCTTTGGGGGGAGTCAAAGTACCAGGTGATTCCATGGGTTGTAAAAAAATCAAAACTTAGGGAGGAAAACAGCAGCATGTATTCAGCAGAGCTTGGGAGCTTTAATAGAGAAGCATTATTCCAAGGAGTACCCCACTCATGGGAGTGACAGAAGAGGGCTGAGAGAAGTACCTTTTACCTTGTATTGGGGGTGGGATTAGATATGGCCAGTGGGCTGGCAAGGCCAGGGGAAATGTAAACCTGAACCACTTGAGGATTTGTGCCTGGCAGGATGGTACACTTTGGAGCTGTATGCTAGCTATGGCCTGCCTGTAAGGCTGTGCCCAAGAGCCCAGGGAACGAGCCCTTGTGTGGGGAAAGGAGCATTATAGCTGGGCACAGGGTCTCTGAAACAGACTGTCCATATGGTCCTGGGCTAGAGTTGGTAAAGCATGTTGGAATATATCCCACGGGACCAGCATGGGTTACACTGGTAAGAGGAGGGAGTCAGAAGCTCAGCTCAGCGGGAAGGTCTTGCCCAGGGTGTCAGTGATCTCATCAACTTAAAATGAGAGGTCCAAGAGGAGGCTATTTCCACTGCCAACTCAGGTTTTAGGCAGTGGAACCTGAATGTATGATTAGATGGCATGCACCTGAGACACCCACTGAGAACTAGGATGGCTGGGCATCTATGTAGCTGGTTCCAGGCAGCCCACCTACAGGGTCTCCTCTCCCCTGTGGGTGCTGCAGTGGAAGGAGGCTGAGAGTGGGAAGAAAAGGTGTGGGGTCTGTGTAAGTTCCATTACCATGGGAGGTGTCCTACTGTCTCTGGAAGACCCACACTGCCTGAGCAACTGGTCTCTGCTTGGCCAGAGGGGCTTCCCCAACTGGTTCCCTGGGGCCAAAGACAAATGTCAAGACTAAGTTCATGATTCCTCTGTAGGGCTCCATATGCTTTAGCAGCCCAAAGGACATGGCCTTTCCCAACAGAGGACTATGGCCATCTGTTGGACCAAGGTTTTTCCAGAGCTTTGTCCCCTACAAATGTCCTCTAGATTATCCTTTGCAATAATCCAGCCTTTAAATGACATCCTTGCAGAAGCTGGGCTGAAACCTTCACTTGTGTCTGAAGCAATGAAAACTGCTTCAGTCCCTTAAGTGCCAGGAGCTGGGTTGATCAGGTTGTGTGAGGCCCTGAAACCTTCATTTCCCTGTCTCCCCACGTGGCTTTAGCTCAGGTGGTGATGGAGGTCTTCTTACGCCTTTGCATGCTGATGTTAACATGGCTGGGAGGATTATTCCTGGGGTACCTGTGCTTACTGACAATAGGAAAATTGGTGTGGATTTCAGTTATAACCAAAAACTGTTTTGGAAAACAGTTTGGTTTCTACTTGTCACTGAAGTCTACACAGCAGAGAAAGAAAAAAGTCCCTTTCTTTCAAATTTCCTATTATTGCATGGCCTCCCATTCCCTACTGTTGGTTAATATATTTATTGCTTTGTAAAATTACATTTATTGCTTTTTCTGATTATAAGCTTACTTATTTTGGGTAGGAAATTTTAAAAATACAGAACAGTTTAACAAAAATATTAGAAATCTTTCTCAATATCTCTAGGTTAGCCACTGTTACCTGTTTTTTTTTTAAGTAAAATGGATTATATTTAGTTTTGCTTGAGTTTAACAGAATTAAAACAATGAAGTCAGGTGCAGCTGAACCTCAGATGAATGTGATGTTACTTCCTAAGTGATTTTGGTCAAGTTATGAAACACAACAAAAAAGTTATGAAATACTTTGAAGTTGCTTTATCTTTATTTAACATGTTTCCAAAAGTGTCAGTTTCAAGTCTGCACAGAGGTCCAAACAAATAGTAAAAGTTCTATTTTTAATTAAAAAAAAGTGGAAAAGTCAAACCTATTTTTAGGATGATTCAAGAGAAATTATCAGGGAAGGGCTGATCATAAAGAAAAATATCACAAAGAACTGACTCCCCTTCAGGGAAGAAAACAAACAGGTGCTGACAACATGATGAGGTCCCTGGGCCCTAACCCAGGAGTTAGACCCTCCCTGTCCACTATCCTCTGGAGTGGGGTTTGTAGTTTGTGCAGGGAAGCTGAAGTCTGGGGCAGTAGGAGAAGCCTGCTCTGCAGTCACTTCTCACACTTCTGCAGGGGTGGTGTTTGCATCTCCATCTTATAAGTGAGGAAACCGAGGCCTCAGAGGAGTGCAAGGCAGGTTTAAATCCAGATTTGACTAATTCTAAAGACCACACTCTTTTTTTGTCATTCAAGAAGTATTTTTTGGAAGCTGCTATGGACAATGCCAAGATGATTCTGTTACTAGGGAGTCTACAGTACAAGAAGGAAGGCAGCATGCAGACCTGGGCTGGGCAGGTTCTAGGAGGGTGACTGTAACCAGCCAATAAAGAGAGTGCTGAGGGGGGTGAGGTGAGGGTGAGGAGACCAGTGGGAAAGCGGTAGCAGGAAATGGCTTAGGTAAGGAGGAGAGAGAGCTGAGTGTGAAGGCAGAACTGACTGCACTCAGTGTTGGGGTGGCACTGTGATGCCCTGGGTGACATACACTGAAAGGATAATTGGGGGAGGAGCAGGTTGGTACGAAGAAACAAAACATTCTTCTGCAAAGGACCAGTGCTGGGCTGGAGACAAACTGTGCACAGTTGGAAAGAAGTGAAGTTTTTCCAAATGAGGGATGACTTTCCCATTGCCTCCACACCTCCCAGAACAGCACAGAGAATAAATACGTCAAGGCCCAGGGTTTGGACATGCAGTGTTGTACCAGGCCCTGGGGACCCAAGCCACACACAGCCTTGTCTGCAGTCAGGTGGGAAGTGAGGTCGAAAGCACCCAGAAAGGAGAGAAAATGAAGGAATTTGCTCCCTACTATGGCTTTGCCAGACCAGTCCAGGAGCAGGATACTCCACAAAGGACTCCCTACTCCTCACAGAAAAGAAATTGCTCTGATTGGTCTTGAAAATAATGACTCTAATCAAAGGGGATCAAGGGGTGCGGAGGGAGAGGCATCCCCACCCCAGCAGGATCTCTCCTGTGGGGCTGGGAGACGTGGAGAGGACATCAGGATGACCAAGAGACTAGTCTGACCGCTGAGCAAAGTATGCTGTGCTTGTGACCCAGGTGCCACCTTCAGGGCACACAGTATAATAGGAGGGACAAGCACAATGTGTAGGTACAAAATGCTAAAGTACTTGGAAGAGGACAGCTATGTTCCAGCCTTTAGGGTGTCAGCATATAGCCAGCTGCCCTGGCCAGGTGGCTTAGTCAGTTGGTTGAGTGTTGTCCAGTGCACCAGAAGATTGCAAGTTTGATCCCTGGTCAGGGCATATACCTAAGTTGCGGGTTCAAATCAGAGGCAACCAACTGATCAATGTTTTTTTCTCTCTCTCCCCCTCCCTCCCTCTCTAAAAATTAATAAACATAGCCTTGGATGAGGATTAAGAAAAAAAGACGCAGTCAGCTTTTTACCCCTGGGTTTGGACTTTTGCCTGGGGCAGTGCAGATAGTGTTCTCAGAACAGGCCCTGGAGAGTTGGCACTGAGACCCAACATGTGGGTACGAACCAGCCACATAGTGTGGAGATGCAGACCTTCCCTACCTGCCTGTGAACAGCTCAGCCTTGCTGCAGAAACAGACAACTAGGGGTGCCCCTCAGGCTCTGGGCTGTGCCAGTCCTGCACCAGTGGATGCCTAGGCCATTCTCTGTACAGTCACCCTAGTCCTCTCCAACCTTCCCTGTATCAAAGATAACCAGAGGTCTCCTCTCTGTGGTTATCAAAATGGGAAGCAAAGCTGAATTCAAGGAAACATTCTGATGTTTCTCACTTAAAAATGTGATTTTTCTATACAAATCACAAGTGACTCCTACTCCAGCATCCTGTTCCTGTTGCATTCCCACACCCACTTCAGAACCATGACACTCAACCTTGATTTACCTTTAGTGTGCCAAGCTCTGCAGGCCACCCTCATTGAGTACTGCCCCATCCTTTGTGAGCCGAGCACTTCATTTACAGGCCTGCTGGTGTATGTTGAACAACTAAGAGTTTCAATCAAATCTGCAGGTGAACAGGTGATACCACAGCTTGGGGATACTGTCAATAACCAGAGTGTTTGTTGTAGCAACAGTTAACTGTTTCTAGGCAGATTAAAGAGGGTATAATCTGTCCTTGAGTTACCAAGAACATATAGGCAAATGCCCATAAGAGGTGTGGGACAAGGACTTCCTTACAAAGACCAGTTGGTAAAATAATCCAGGAGTGAATATTTTTGGTAAACAATCCTTAATTTACTTTTCTGAAAAACTAAGACAAACTGGATGTATGTCCAGTACAGGGCACCAGAACCTGGGACACTGGCCACGTGTCCACATTCTGAAGCCATATGAAAGTCTATACCCCTTGGAGAGAACTTCTGTCCCCTTGGGCCTGTTCTCTCTGTACATTGTCCTGCAAAGGGAGTTAGTTCTTGGGAAGCTGGGGTTCCCCACCACCCTCCTCTTTCAGGTGTGTTCTGTTGTGGCCTGGGAGATAGTGGGAACACCAGCATGTAAGACCTGAGAAGAGAACCCCTGGGTACTCAGGAGTCAAACACTAGTAGTCCATGCTGGTGTCCTCCCTGTGTGACCTGGGGTGGTTTCCTCCAGGTGGCTGCTCGGGCTTACTCTTCTAGCATCATGGAGCCCTTTTGGGCAGGATGCTGGGTCCTTTGGGAAAATGACCCCTGTAGATCCCCTGCTCCTGAAGCTCACAGTCTGGAGGTCTGGACCTAAGGACTGGGTTGATAGGTCATGACTGTCAGGCTCAGTGGTGCTAGTGTCTACTCTCTGCCTACCTGGAGATGACATCCTGAACCTTGCACCCCTCTACTTTCATATGACACCAAAATTTAGTCAGTCTATATTGTTGCCATTAATTCCATGGAACTGCCCCTGCCTAGCTGTGTTCTGATGGCTTTGAGTAATGAATAGACTTAATTCTTTTGAGGGTACATGTGTCCCTCTGACATAAATAGGATGCTGGTTACTCCTGGCCTTAACACACTGGTACATGCCCAGGGTTTGAATCCCAGCTCTGCCTCTCACTGGCTATATAACATTTAGCAAGCTGCTTAACCTCTCTGAAGCTCTTATGTTTTCATCTATTAAATGGGGATGATGATGGCACTGACCTCACAGGGTAGTGGTGAGAATATACAAGATGTTACTGATAAAGATCAATAAATGGTATGCAATAGTGTAAATATAATCAAGTATTAGGTCAAATATGCAATATGGCTACAATGGGGGTCCCTGAGAGCAAATTGGTGTCCTCTATTGGAAAAAACTTCAAGATGCAGACAGAGAGTAGGTCCAAACACAGCCTGCAGCAGTTCCCAGGGCCCTTTCCCCAGATGCAGGGGCATTGTGGTATCTTCTTTACTGCAGGTGGTCTTTGGATATGACAGGTGCTCCCAGCTCTTGGTACTAGTCACTGAGGACTAATGTGACCTTGCAGTGGAAGGAGTGATGGCTGCTGGACCCTGCCCAATGGCCCTGAAATAAGAAGATGGACCTTTGCCAGCTTTGCTGGGGGATTGGGGTGCGGGGAGCAGAGTGCGACATGATGGCCTAGTGGAGTTTCCCAGGAAAGCGAACAGGTTGAGAAAGAAAGGCCTTTCATTTTCGCTAAGTTCTGCAGGGCTGGGGTTGGGGAAGAGCTACTGGGGGCTCTGTATTTAGGTTAGTGCAATTTAGTGTTTAGGCATAGGGAGAAGCCAGATGCCCAGATCGTGCCACCTTAGGGGTCCTTGTCAACCCCTTTTCATCACCACAGAAAGGCTCTCGAATCTGTTCACTGAAGGTGAGGGGGAGGCTGTGGGAGCCATGGGGCCAGGGAGAGGGTAGGTGGAGGAGAGAACTAAGCCTGGGGCTGAGTTCCCATTTCTGTTCCACACTAGAGAGAGGGGCCTTCAAGCCCTTCATTTGGAGGCCCTCCTCTATCAAATGAAGGAAGCACCTGAAAGGATTGAAACTGGGGTAGGATGGGGTAGGGTGGTATGACATGAGGGTGCCAGGATCAAACAGACTGAGGAGCAGGGCTAGAGTGAGCAACTTCAAGCACCCCAAACTCAGTGAGAATGCCATCTGTGTCCACCACAGTCAAACCTCTCCAGGGCCTAAGAGGGATGGGTTAATTTACCCATTTCATGGGTCATGAGGCTGATGCTAGGGAGGCTCCAGGCTCCACAGCTACTAGGTTGAGGGAGTGTGCATGTCCTAAGGCCCTCTATATGTGAGTGTGGACTCTGCACCCTTCATCTGGGGCTTGGTGGCAGATAGCAGGTCTAACAAGGAATGGCCCAGGCTGGCTAAGCATGGCTTTGGCAGGGAAAGGCAGGAGCAGCTGTGAACAGGGGAGTGTATTGGAGAGGGCTCTCTGTTCAGTATGAAATACCAGCAGAGGGTCGGTAATCCTTCTGGTGAAAGGGCACTAATAGTTGGGTAAGGATTCCCAATGCAATCCTGGTTTTGTCCCTGCTTTGTTAGGGTAGGAAGCTGAGGCAAGCAGAAACAACACAACAAATAATTGCCAGTAATATAAATAATTAAATCTCAGTATGGTTGAGAAGCCAGGTGTCACATTCTCAGAAGCCCCTTCACTAAGGTTTGAGGAGTGTGCTTCTCTGGTCTGAGCATCTCATTTCTTCCCCTGGCTTGTTCCCTCCTAGGGGCACTAGTGGGGCACAGTAAGACACTGGCATCCAATCAGGACAGGACATACTGGAAGAGGGGGTGTGTGGTCAGGGCTTCACTGTGTGAGCTAAGAACAAAGCAGCAGGAGACAGCTGAGGTAGAGTATCCTGTCCTCATAGTCTGAGTGCAGCACTCACCTGAGATGGTCCAAGGGCCTGAGACAATGTTACCATGATGATGTGACCCCTCCACAGACTAAGAGGCTCTGGGGCTGTCCCCTTGTCATTGGTCCTGCCTGTACATCCTCTACCTGGTCCCTTGTGGCCAGGCTCCAACCCCCCTCCAAAGAGAGAGGAGGGCAGAAACCAGCCACTGCATAGGCACTGCTCCTGCTCCCTGGGAAGTGGCTGTGGGACTTGAGCAGGTCATGTCAGTCCTCCAGCACTGCTTCCTCATTGGTTATAGGAGGTGGGAAAGGGGCCCTCCAGGTCTTCACCAGTATCCATGGCCTATGATTCTGGTGCTGAAAAGACACCTCCAGCCCCACAAGTGTGTGTGTGGGCGGGGGGTGGGGTGGTGGTGGTGCAGGAGGAGTCTGGGGGCAGGTGCTCACTGGCTGTGTGACTTGAGGAGGTCAACTATTCTAGCTGTGCCTCAGTTTCCAGACACAAAGGCTATGTCTCCCTTCTTCCCCTTCTCTCCAGCGCTGGCCTGGCAGGAAGCATGACAATGTCTGATCAACAGGGTCCCTAATGCCAAGTCACAGGACAGCATCCAGCAAGCAAGCAGAAGTGACCAGCCCTGAGATAGAAACTACCACACCCATTCCTGTGCTCCATCCCTCCTTTGTGAGGAAGGTCCTCAGGTCACTGTGGTGATCCTGGAGCAGCAGCAGGGAATAGAAGTACCTTCCCTGGACCGCAAGCAGCACTCAGACTCTCATTCCTGAAACCCTGGAAGGCAGCTGCTGCCAGCACTGGGGGGCCTTGGTGCTCCACCACTGCATGGTCTGCTGGGGTGGGGTTGCCCAACCAGGACTGTTTCATAGACCTCCAGAATAAGAGGAGGAGCTCATGGCATGCCGGCCTCTTCCAGCAATCTTGGGATCACACAGAACTGAGGGAGACCCTCTTACCTGGGGACAGGTCCAGAGTGGTGCTCAAGATGAGACTGCAGAAGGCAAGCAGCACCCAGGCCGGCTGCATGGCTGCGTGGAAGGCAGTGCTGGTTGTGCGTCACTGGGGTGGTGCTAGGGAGCGTGGTTGTGGCTGGTGGGGCAGGGGCAGGCTCTGCAAACTGCCCTGGTCCGGGTGAGGGCTGCCTGCCTTGTTACAGGGCAGGTGGTGGTGGTTTCTTGCTAAATCATTTTGACCAGAAGCTCTTCAACTTCACATCTATAGGCTACACAGTCAACCACTTCCTTTATTCAAGTTTCCAAAGTGCAATTCTTTGCAAGGGGAGGAGGAAGAGAATAAATGAAACATGTGAACAAAACTGCTGTGACCTTCTACCCTCAAAACACAGGGAAGAGATGCTGCATTTAAAAAAAAAACATTAGCGAGGATTTTCAGAAGCAGAATCACTTTGATTTCCTTCCTCAAACCATACTTTTCAGGTCCAAGACTCTAGTTTTCTGAGGTTTTGAGTGGGCTGCTGCAGGAGACTCTCTGCCTACTGGTATGAGTAGACATCACCCCTACCTAGAAGTGAGCAGGAAACAGGGTGCAGAGTGCAGTTTCAGTGGGTGAACATGGTCAGGGCACATGGTGCCTCTAGTGATCTCTGCACCTGGAATCGGTAAAAGAGCAGCATTTGCTGACTGATGGATCATAGCTCATCTTTGGCTCAAAGCTGATGAAGGAAAAGAAAACACATGTGGCTCAGAGGTTCTAGCCGCCAGCAGAGTGCCTGTTTATGTGCCAGCTCAGCCATTAGAAGTGAGACTCTGGAGCCAAATGGCCCAAGTTTGCTTAAATCCAGCTGTGACTGTTACCTGGGTGACCTTAGATGTGGGACAGCCTCTATGTTTCAGTTTCCTCCTGATAGGGTTGTGGTGAGAATTTGGGGACTTTCTCAATGTAAATGCTCAGGGCCTGGATAAAGCAAGCTGAATGGGCAGTTCATGGGTAACACAGGAAACTGAGTCTCACTACTCCCAGTGCATGCACTGTACTGCCTGTGGTGGTTGGATGGCATATTCTCTGAATCAGGACCTGCATGTTAACACCATCCAGAGAAAGATCTTCCCCAGATGGATTCTACTAGGTTTTACTGGATTCCAGGCAGGGGATCTGGGTTTGTGTGACTTGGACAAGCCATATACCCTCTTGAAGCACCCACTACTGCTCCAGGTTCCTGGCTTCCATGAGGACTGTTATCAGCAAAGCATGTTTAGCACAGTGTGTGGTAGAATGTAGCATTGATAAACCATGGCTGCTGTGACAGCCAGCATGTTCTGCTGGGCCTGCTCTGCCAGTTCTGGATGCTCACCCTCTGGCTGTCAGAGGCTGTGCCATAAGGACTCCAGGGTGATGTCTCCTTGCCAGGCTCTGGGCCCTGATTACATGTGCCATATCTGGGATTCATCCCTGGTAGGGGTCTGGGATGGAAGAGGGGCAAGTGCAACAGCAGTGGTGTCTGCCCAACTCAGGTGGCAGGTTGTCCTTAGTGCTGTGGATTCTTTTCACTTTCAGAAGCATTGGCAAGGTTCAGCATGTTTTTGGGGGACTTTATCCAGTCACTGTATCTTCTTTAGTCTTTGACCCTTTAATCCGTGAGTGTGGATGATAGTCATCCACATCCCTAGCCCCACAGCTCTCAAGCTGTGAGCAGAAGTGGGGCAGAAGTACAGGGAGGCCCTCCTTAAGTCACAAAGTGCCTTTGCAGGAAGGAGCTGATGTTGCCTCAGTATTTTACCATGTTGTCCAGGAAAAATGTGTGTTGTGCATGTGCATGGATGGTATCATATATGTAGATGTATATGTCTGTGTCTTTTTATGTCTCAGTGTATATGCTTGTGTATCCAGTCTGTTTTTGTTTCAGTCTGTATATGGTTTGAATGTGAATGTGTGTGAGTTTTTCTGAGTGTGTGTGTGTGCTTATGTGCATATATGTGTGTATTTGTATATGTATGTTGTAATGATTAATTTTATGTGTCACCTTGACTGGGTCAGGGGCTGCTCAGATATTTTTTTAAACATGATTTCTGAGTGTGCCTGTGAGCTTATTTCTGGAGGAAATTAATATTTAATTGGTGCACTAAGTAAAGCAGATTGCCTCCCCAACATAGGTGGGATTCATCCAGTCAGTTGAAGACCTGAGTAGAATAAGAAGCTGAGTAAGAAAGAATCCTTTCTGCCTGACTGTGTTCAAGCCAGGACATCAGTCTTTGCTTTCAGACTCAGACTCAGATTGGAACTGACACCACTGGATCCTGCTTCTCAGGCCTTTGGACTGAAGCTGGAAGTATACCATTGGCTTTCCTGGGTCTGGACTTCTTAGCCTCCATAATTGTGAGAACCAATTCCTTATAGTAAATCTCTTTACACACACACACACACACACACACACACACACACACTCTCTCTCTCTCTCTTTCTATTGGTTCTGTTTCTCTGGAGAACACTGATATATTTGGACACATGTGTGTTTGTGCCTATGTGGGTGTCTGTGTGTAAGCATATATTGTGTGGGTTTCTATGTCTCTTTGCTTGCATATCTGTATGTTCATGTGTCTGTGTGTGTTCCTGTGAGTTACAAGCTTTATATATATGTCCCTGCATGTGAGCATGTGTGCACAAATGTGCAGGTATGTGTGCACATGTGTAATTATGTGTGTGTGTGCTATGTGCACTATTTCTGTTCTATCCAAGGCATTCCTAAAGTGATGGGCTCCATACTGAGTATCATTCATTCATTCATTCATCACTCATCTGTCCTTTATCATCTTGCTACTTGATGTGTGGTCCCTGGAATAGTGGAATTAGCATTCCCTGGGAACTTGATAGATATGCAGATTTTCAGGCCCCAATAGACCTTATGAATCAGACTCTCTGTGACTGCAGCCCAGGGATCTGTTTTCATAAATTCTTTAGGAGAATTTTTGGCCTCTAAGGTTTGGGAAGCACTGATTGAACCCATTTTATTGCTCCTCCTGTTCTTGAGGATGTGCATAATGTACTTCTGTCCTTCATGCTGTGTCCACTGCTGGCCTTGGTCAGTTGTCATCTCATCATATGAAGAACATGGTTTTGTCCACTAATTGGTCATAAAGTAGGGCTCCTCCATGAGACTTCTAATCCCCAAGGGTGTGAATGGATGTAGAAGGAACACAGGTGGATTGGGGAAGCCTGGCTAGGCGAAGTCAAGGTGTGTGCATGATCCTCCTCCCCACTGCAACTGGTCACACCCCCAGATCAATCCCTCTGTTGGTTGTGAAAACATAGAGTCTGGTTTTGCCAGAACCTCCAGAGCCAGGACTTCTAAGGTGCAGCCCATATAGCTGGGAAGCCTCTTATCTCTGGCTCTGTGAGCAGAAAGTGCTGTCTCCCTAATTTGAGGTGTTAAAATTATTGATCTTGGTGGTGACAGGGTGGTTTGGTCCTCTCTTCCCCAGGCTGGGTCTCCTGAAAGCTCTTCCTTGCCTACTCTTGGGGTGAAAAGGAGGCAGGTGCAGTTTATGTGGCAGGGACCCTAGGTACCTGGTCTCCTGGACTCTCTTCTGACACGTCTCCTACCTGCCATTCCATTTTGTTGCAGCTCATGATACATAGCTGGAGGACACATGGTTGATTCAAACACATTAAATTTTACTACAGAGGGCACATCTAGGCACAGACAGCATTGCTGTGTGAACTTCTTGGCAGACCCTGTTCTCAGGGTACTTGACTTGTTGCCTCTATCATGGATTTCTTTTTGCAATTTGAAAGGAAAATTCAATGAACTGTATCCAGCTGTTGTGTGGGTTATATACCGCTGCATAAAAAATGACTACAAATTTAGCAGCTTAAAACAGAACAAGTCCATTATCTCATAATAATTGTGGGTCATGATCTGGGCACAGCTGAGCTGGGTTCTCTGCTTCAGGCTTCATCACACTGAAATCTAAGTGTCACCAGAGCTGCAGTCCCATTTGAGGGCTGAACCAGGGATGATCCCCTTTCAAGTTCAAGTGCTTGTTGGCAGCTGCCTGTTCCTAGCCATGTGGGCCTTCCCAGTGTGGCCATGTGCTTCCTTAAAGCCAGCAAGATAGAGAGAATGTCCTAGAAAAATGGGTTACAATCTTATGAAGGTTATCATGTAGGTGACCCCCTGTCATCTTGGCTAAACTATTGTTTAGAAGCAAGTCACAGGTCCTGCCCCCAGTCAAGGGGACAGTGCCACAGGCCTGCATACAAGGGGGCAGACATTATGGGGGCCACCTTAACATATGGCTGCCTCACTAAGTAAAGTTCACAACAAACACTCATTAACTCTCTCCACTGAAGATGCCTGCAAAAAATGACCAATGATCCCTGGCTGGTGTGGCTTGGCGGATTGAGCACCAACCTGAGAGCCAAGGAGTTGCCAGTTCAATTCCCAGTCAGGACACATGCCTGGGTTGTGGGCCAGGTCCCCAGTGGGGGGCACATGAGAGGCAGCCACACATTGGTGTTTCTCTCCCTCTCTTCTTCCTCCCTTCCCCTCTCTAAAAATAAATAAATAAAATCTTAAAATGAAAAAGACCAATGGGGTGACCATGAGTACATTTAAATGTAACTTTTCACTAGAAGGGGCCAAGGCTATTTGGGGAAATGGTGGTTTCAAGCCAGGGCAGGGAATGTACAAGGTGAGACAGGGACATCTATCTGGTCTTCCCAGAGAACAAGGAAGCCATTGGAGATTTCTAAGGTCATGTCAAAAGAACATATGCACTGTTCTTGACAAATAACAGGTGTTGGTGAGGATGTGGAGAAAAGGGAATCCCTGTGCACTGTTGGTGAGATTGCAGACTGGTGTAGCCACAATGGAAAATATTATGAACTTCCCTCAGAAAATTAAAAGTGGAACTGCCTTACTGATACAGAGAGATCTGATTAAGATAACTCAGATCACTGGGGAGAAGTGGGGAGGGGCCATAGGAGGAGTTTGCTGAGGCAATTGTGGGTAGCCTAGGATTGGCTAAGAAGCTGAATGCCTCTTGAGCCAATGGAAATAAAGAGAGCTCCGGTTGAGAGAGCTCTTTGGCTCCTGAGCTGGCTTTCTTTCTCTGGCTCTGGCTCTGGCTCTGGCTCTGGCTCTGGCTCTGGCTCTGGCTCTGGCTCTGGCTCTGGCTCTGGCTCTGAGGTTCGGTCTCAGGCTCTTCTTCCTCGAAGATGCCTGAATGATCATGC